CGACAGAAGCCTCGCGCCAGAGTACGTGGTCTTTTACGACGCGTTTCCATCAAACAGTCGCGGGAAAATATTAACAAACAAGTTAATAGCAGACGCCATCAAGAAAATACGACATCAGGAGTTCGTGTGTAAGCACGTCCACACAGGCTGAATGTAATGTTGGTGTGTAAGCACGTCAACACAGGCTGAATGTAATGTTGACATTGTTGTACACAAGTTTGCTTTTGATTCCATTTGCTTCTCTTTCTATCAGAACAGCTGCACATAGAAAAATAAAGTTTGCTCTGATCCGCAGTTTTGTATCGTATCCCTTCGAATGGAATTGCCTCGATCTGTAAGGGGACGGGCTGTATACTGTTTTTCAATCGTATTGGGCTTTGTTGAGCTCAGCTATTCTCCAGGTCTATGCAGATGTTTTGTTTTGTTGTGCTGCATTGTATTGTAACGTGTTGAAAAGTGAAATGGCGTGTCCCTGATATTGAGGTTTCTGATCGCAAAGTGGGGAGGTAAGGGTCGGACGGGGTGTTTGTTTTTGAGGTCGAGTGGACCCGGGAGATTCGTTGTTCCAGCACCGATACTTGGGAGAGGCGTAGAATTCGCCACCCGAAAAAAAAATTTCGGGTTTTTAGTTAAATTGTCTTCAGATCTCTGCGAAACTAGATCATCAACTTTTTTCCAAGAAAAAATAACAAAAGAATTTTTTTAAAAACTAAGTAAATACAGTATTAATAATGACACGAAACTATGAAGAAGGGGTTGAAGCCAATCGCAACTTTCACAGACAATGTACTGGTCAGACAAAATAAAAGGTAAAGTGCTCCTGTTGGATTTAAGCGTTGGACACTTCTCCTCGGTTACCACTTTCCTTTACATTAAAAATATGGTTCGTAGTCCAGAGCAAAAGAGCGTAGATTTAATAATTCTAAATACATCAAGAAAAAAACGATATAAAAATACATTATTATGCACATGCTTATACATTACTACTATTTAAATAACTATAAAGAAAAGCGTGGGTGTCTTCCTTAACATTAGTAAAGGTATCCAATAGATACTAAAGTGACCCACGCTTTTCTTTATAGTTATTTAAATAGTAGTCTATAATTTATTTTCTACTTTTTAGTGCATTATTACATAAAAGCTTGTTATTAAAACGTTTTTTTATGAATTTTTTAAAGAATCAACAGCTTTATCATTTTTAATGGTCAGTATGCATATATATATATATATATATATATATATATATATATATATATATATATATATATATATATATATATATATATATATATATATATATATATATATATATATATCTACAACATTATAAATAGTATTGTGTTTACAAATAGTCCTGCAATAAAAAGTAATTTTCTATCCCACACATAGTTTTAGAGTCCTCAATATGGCGGTATTTATTAAAATAATTCTCACTTTATAATAATAACCGTTGTAGATACATATTTTATAAAACAGATTCATGGGCAAATCCAGTCACAAACAAAATAGTTGCCAATAAATTTCGTTTTAAAAGCAATAATTTTTAAACATTTATGTAGTAATTATCTAGACTACTTAGTATTTAGATCTAGTGAAGTTAAAAAAATGAAAACATTTTCAGATTTCAGTATAAATTAATAAAAATGTAGGCCTATATTATTGCATAAAATATTTCTACACGACTTTAAAATGAATGTAACCTCAGTTTAATAAGATATTTTTGGAAAAGTTTGCAAACGTTTGTACGTAAATATAGAAGTGTTGGGTTGTGTACAATTTGATAGTTAGATCTAGGTACACAAAGACATCCCAATTATCATTATGTAATATTTAAAAATCTGTTTCAGCAAGTTACAAAATGTATCTGGTTCTTACTCTTGTACTCCTGAGTTTAACCTCACTGGTAAATAGCGCTGACTGTAAGTACATCTGTTTTACTTTTTTAATGTATTATTAGAATATTAAAACGAATATCTTACAAATACTAAAACTAACTTAATACAAGTTTAAAATCTATACCGTTTTTTTTTTCAACTATAATATTTTTAGTTATGGTGTAATTATTTCGTACCAAGCGTGTTTATTGAACAAAAAAGTAAAGTTAATATTTAATTTTTAATTTTTAAAAATTTAGAACAAACATCCCTGACGACTAGCGTAACCTCAAATTTTAACAACCTTGTAAAAAAAATTGTAAAAATCTTATAAAGTTAAACTTAACAGGAAGAAGGAAAAAAAATTATGGAAAGTCAAACTGTATATTTTAAATAAGGTATCTCAAGAAAAAAAAAATTATAGCTTTTTTTTTAGTATCACTAAGACTTAGAAAACCAAAGAACTTTATAGATCAACAACAAAAAATATTGGAATTGTAATTTTTTTTTTTTTTTACAGTTGCCACATGCGCACAGGAATTTGCGCAGAAAGTGACTTCTCGCACTGAACAAGGTAGATTCTCATTTCTAGAGTCATCCAAGTTTGCCTACAGTAAAAATGGAGCTAAGATACATATTCAAAAAGTCAACTTCACAACGCCTTTCACTGCACCGCCGACTGTGATCGTCACATTGGAATCTCTTACTTCACTCAAAGCTAACGACATAGGGTACTGGCTTCACACAGGCGAGGTGACCAATAACGGCGTTGAGATTCTTTTTGAAGTATGGGGTGACACACCAGTCAGTGGAGGGTGGGTGCACTGGTATGCCTTCCGTGTATAGAAGTTAGAGAAACATCAATGTTTTGGTCCGTGTTACAAGGCCTATAGACGAATTTTGTCGGTAAACAATGTATTGTTCGGTGTTATATGGCGACTAGTTGATATTTCTTCCATAACATTTGGTGATGATATTCACATCTATCTGCCGCTACTAACAAATAAAAGGGCCATAACAACTAATATTATGTGTTCTGTTTTTCTTGTTACAATGTTTTCAGTTACTTGTAACGGATTGATATTTGTTGTAATGGTTATTAGCAGAAGTTATATGAACAAACCAGTTACCTTTACAAAGTTATTTCCTCTTTAAATAATGTGCTGAATAGTCTAAATTAATAATCAGTTAACAAAATTGATATGCATTTAATGTACGATCAATACTTAGAGTATAAAGAAAAATCCAAAATAACGAAGTTTTCTAAGTAGGCGTAGAGCAAAATTTTCCCGATATTCTTAAATGTTTACACATTAATGTATCTAGTTGATTTTTCTCAACTACTTTGTTCAGGTATATAATATAATTGGCGAGTCTAAAGGAACAACTGCAAGCTATGACTATGAATTAATACAGAATGTTCAGCTGAAATAATGACCCATCGACCCCCCCCCCCTCGGAGAAAATGTCTGGAATAAACATTGCTCAGCGAAGGTTCCATAAACTCCGAATTCCCTCTTTGCACATTTGAACTTGATTTCGACACGGAACATATGTGAGTTGGACACAGAGCACACCATAGAAGACCAAAAGATATCAGGCCGGGGTGCAGTAGAGCACACACGAAGTCCCGCCGCTACTGTTTGAACACATTTATTCCTAGACTCGATATACCCAAATGTCCAGGCTCGCTTTTAGAAACTGCGTCTTGTGACGCCTTAGAGTCAAATGAGCTCGAACAGGTAACAGCATCAAGTTAGGAAAAATGGACGGCTGCGCATTAATACGACCACCTCATCCATTTCCATGCTGCTGTCGCCGAAAGATGAGGTGTACTCGACTTCATCTGCCGTGAACTGGCCGATAGGTTTAAACAATTTCCTAATTACGATATATTTTGCCTATTTATGGTTTAAACTGCCAAACAAAATCAAGTTAAAGTGTTTCTTTAGACATTTTTATCCAGGAGGCACTTTCGGGGATGGGGGGGACAGGCATTGGTGGAGTATATATTTTGTATGTAAATTTCATTTCACTCGGGAGAGGGGTGGGGGAGAAGGCGGTAGACGTGTTTTGCCCTACACGCAGCCGCCTTTATTTTCCCCAACGTGAGTCAGGTACCTATCAGAGCTGGGTTGACTCAGGAATGTCCAACAGTCCCGAAACGCGACAAGGATGTTCCTAAATGGTAACTTAACATTAGCCATTAACCTTGTCAACATTTTGTTTCATTTTTTTCCCTCTCAACTCTCATGCGATTAAAATTATGTCACAAAAACAAACACAGAAATATTTTTAAAAAAATGAAGCAGAAGATCTATTACTATAATAGTTTCACTGATTTATTTTTCTCTAATTTACTCTACATGGACATATAAATAATGACAGGTACTCTTTTTATAAACAGAAATGCTTTTTACTTTACTCCTAAACGGCAGAATTGAAGCAATGGAGGCGAGCGAGTTGACGAGATTCCTTCCATAATGTTGTTGTCATGGAATAAAAACGTGCTTTTTAGATTAAGACCGTAAAAAAAAATAAAAAATAAAAACTTAAGCCTAAAATTAATTTAGAAATTTTATATTCTTAGAATAAATGCTATAAAAGTTGCAAATCCAGAGAACTTGAAAATAATTTGTTGAGTTTAAGGCTACATTTCTATTTATTTTCATCAAGCCTAAGTTATAACCGGATGTTTCACTTTCGTAAGACAAATATTGATTGGATGTACAGTAACTTAGTAATCGATAACTATTTGTTTACAAAACTTTGCAGATCAAGTTTTTAAATTACAATGCAAATTTAAAACCCCATGACCTAGTTTTCTATTTTTAGCTTACAATGTGTACAATAAAATCTATGGCAGCCTATCCAATAGCAGGATGCCATGTTTATGTCGCCATTACACGTGAAAACCAAATTGTTTTTGCTTTTTTTTTAATTTTTATTTAGTTACCGAAAATATTATAAACATCAAATACATCCAATCTTTAGTAAAGTCCGAAAAAAACCAGACAGGCAGGATTTTATAACCATATTAATTGTAAATACGCTGTGCATGATTTTTTAATGAATTTATACACCTCTCAAATACCTTTGAGACTTTTCTCGCTGGTGTCCATTAGACTTATTTCCCTTTAACATACCAAGCTAAAACATAAACCAATCAAAACGAAACAATTTACTTTCCAGTATTTGCTTCTACATTAAAAAAAAACAAAAATTTTAAAAATAAAATCCTGGTCAAAATATTAACATTTTTGACAACTTACCATAAAACTATAGTTAAGTTTATCCTCAACAGAGATTAAAGAAACATCTTAACAAGGTGTAAACACAAATTAGCCTAGGCACAGTGTTGAGCAAAGATCTATCACATTCAAGCATACAACTATCAATATGTTAAAAGATCAATCACATTCAAACATACAACTATTAATATGTTAGACCAACTGTCCTCATAAATATGATAAGATCTAGAAGATATTTATACAAAGTCAATCTTCAAAATGTAAAAACTAAACTAAAACTTAAAGTAACTCTAATAAAGATAAACCTGAAATTAGTTTTTGATCAAACTGTTGGGTAATTAATATTACCAAATGTGCATCTACAAAATTAAAAAAAAAAAAAGTAAAATTTTTAATTAGGCCTGACTGATAGTACTGCTTAACACTCTCACAATATATCTATTTCACTATTTCATTCGCTCAAATTATGTGATCTGGTTTTTTAAATAATTTGATCTTACAAATTTTATATTGCACTCCATTTTTATTTATTATATTATGTAAGTAGTATTAAACTGTTACACTGGCTGACTGGAGAATACCGGGTCACTAGTTTAGACCAGTACGCTGTCAGAAAGGAGTATTCATTAAATAGACAACAGCGTACTTTGTCAAATAAAACAAAAAAGAAATTCAACAAAAATAAAGTGCAAGTAGAAAAAGAAGAAAGATCGGAGCTTATTTCAAGAAAAATCTGTTGAGCACTGTACAAAGTGATTAGAGCGAGGCTGAAAGACTAGAGGTTGCAATATGTACACGTAACATGAGAAATGCTTCCAGTAGGCTGACCACTTAGAGTGGTAGACAGTGTAAATATGTACATCACGTAAACTAAGTTATGAGGTAAAGCACTGGTAAAAAAATCTTTTAAAACAGTTTTAAATTTAATTTTTATCACTTTAGTGTAAATCTATTAAAAAAGTTAAACTGAAAATTTAAGTCAATGAGAATACAGTTTTTAATCTTCAGTTATTAATTTTATCTACTTATCTGATAAGGAAAAGGGAAAAGTTAATATAACATGAAGTTGACTACTTTTTAAATATATTCTTTTCTTGAGTTTTAAGTTAAAAAACATGTTCTTCACACTTTGCATGCTTGATTTCATTTCAAGGCCATGAGCTAGAAAATAATGAAATGTAAAACTTACAAAAAACCTAACCACGAAAGCTACATGGTGCTGTACAGTATTTAACATGAACTATTTTTAAATCACTGCCTTTATTCATGCAATAGTTAAAATGTCACTGCCATTATTTTATTCACGCAATACTTAAAACATCATTGCCGTTATTTTATTCACGCAATACTTAAAATATCATTGCCGTTACTTTATTCACGCAGAAAAAATAAAACCCTATGCGTAAACACACAACATTGTTTGTAACACTAACTATTTGTGTATACATTGGTCACAACTTCACACAAAGGCAACTTTCTCTCTAGATATGACAGTACTAAACAGACTTACAAAATCTTAGAACAGATTCTAGAGACTCACAACATATTTAGGTAACATTTAGTACATAGATATATGCTTTTGAGTTAAAATAGTGTATTCACTTGGAACATGTATGAAGAATATGACCTACTTACTGGATGCAGGCCATTACAATAAATGATTTTAGGTCTCATATTCACAGGCAAAGGAACTTAAATGACTGAGTTTTCCACCTTCATAACTGAAGACTGGCAACTTTAAAACCTTACTTGAAAATTTGTTTCAGCTTAGAAAAATAAACTTCCTTAAATAGTTTTTGAGTTGAGTGAATATTACCTACTCCATAAAACTCCACACAGTTTAACCCTTATAGTCTTTATGGAATAGAGAAAGTGTTTTTTTTAAATTACTAAATATTCTGATGTGTCAAACATTAAAAGTAAACTTGTCGCAAATGCATAACTTGTAACAGAATTTTGGTTCTTAATGTTTTTAAGTCATGTTCTTGGTGTGAATACAGCTTAAGCTGGACAAGTTCCTCTGTGCATGGCCTTAATGTTACATGATGCAATATAGCATTTAATCTAACAACTGCCTCTATTCAAAGCCATCATTTTTGTATCAAATAGCAAAATATTTACAATTTTAAAAATTGAACTACATATGTTAAAACTCTTTTAAACCCAACAGTGCCTAGTGCTATCTAATACAGTGATTATTAATTTTCTGTTAAGTTTAAGCATATATATAATTTTGATGATAATGAAGGCATTGTAAGATCTAATAGAATCTGAACAACTGCCTTGTAATGACTAAAAAATGGAATGCGTTCAATGTTGTATGATCTAATGTAATCTGAACAAGTTGTCTTGTTGTGATGACTAAAAAATGGAATGTGTACAATATGACGTACGGAAACAGCTGAGACTAAGATAAACTGTATTGTCCTGAGTTTCATTCTCCTCATATTGTGGCTAAAAGTTGTTTCTTCTCCTTGTTCAATCTGGTCATTTTCTTATCTCTAGAAAGAAAAACATAATTCAAATACATCACACATATTTTAGGTCAGGTAAAGTATTAACTGACAATGTCTCGCTAGTAATTTTAAAGTTATTAAAAGTTATTAAAAAATGTTAAAGGTATAACAGTTAAACTTATCATGCAAAATGTGTTTCTGTGTAATGAAATAAAGTGACAAAAAAGGTGTGGGCATGGGAAAACAAGGGTGGTAGCCATAAAATACAACAATATTCACAATGGTGTATCAACAAATGACGAACACCTTTTGTCAGTCACTCGTCAACAACATATTTAAATATTAGGTAGGGGTGTACAGAAATCATTGCTCGTAACAAAAAACTACCACGTATGAAAAGAAAAATGTATACTAACTCCAGGTAATCCATTCAACAGCTTGCTGGAAATATGCAAAATTGGGAATAAGCAATCTTAATAAAAAGGTGGGGAAAGAAAAATACCCAAAAATGGTTACTTAATCTAACCCTTGGCAAGTAAGTAGGCTATAGATCTATGTTGTTTATTTTGTATTACAATTTTTAAAATTTTATCTTGCAAATTAAAACCAAAATATAATAAAAGTAATATACATCATATGAAATGTGTTTAGAATAAACTTTTTTAAAACCTAGCAAAAAGTAGAGATCTAGTTTTAATAAACTATACAGCTAAAACGCTTTGCTCATGCAAGCACCTGATCTTTAAGAGTAGAGTACCTAGTTAATGTTTATTATAAAAATAATGCATTTTAGGATGTTTTGCCTAAATTTTGAAAGATTAACATCAAAATTAAGAAATGTTTTAATTTATTAATAAAGCGATTTTAAAAACCTAATAGTGTGTGCAGGGAAAGCCATTTTAACAAAGCATACACGTGGGTTAAAGGGAGATAATAAGGCAATAAAAAAAGAAAAATGTTTGTACCATATTGGTGATTCTTCTTGCTGATATTTCCTTTTTTTTATTTAGAAATTTAGAAAACTATATTTGGAAAAGTATTTTTTACCATACAGCTAGGTTAAAATTAGTTGCATGTTTAGTTAAGCACAAATTCCTATTTAACACAACACCTTAAGCTGAGTTGAAGGAAAAAAACTAGGAGAACCAGAATTATAATTAAGCAGTCGCTAGTTGCTCATTTTCGCTCGCTTGTTGCTCATTTTCGCTCGTTGCTCATGTTCTTTGCTCATGTTCGTACTTATTACATTGGACTAGTGTTCATGTACTTTAGTAATAAAAAAATATCACATCAGGTTTAAGTCAAGTTGAAGTGGAGTATTTTCAACAGCTGAGAATTAGAATGATAAAGCCACAAATTGATAGGTAAAACACATGGTGGGAACTCAAGTTTGGTCAGTTGGGGTAAGTGGATAGTTAATATATTTCCAGTCTAATCACTTCTACTGAAAACCAAAACACTTTTGAAAACAAAACTTATACAAAAACTAAATCTTGTAGATTTTCAGTGTTTTAAACTGAAAATTTATGGCATAAAATTACAAAAGGGAGTGGGCATAATTTCAGTACCATAATGAAACATCTAATCCTAAGATCCAACTTTGGCAAACAATGACAATAGACTATGAACTAGTTCCTTAAGAAAGTCTTAATTCATGGGACCCTCCCACTACTAAACACCCACTTTTAAATATATTCAATTTCATGATTTAATTATGTACATTTTGACAGATTTGCTAATATGTTTACTTATTGTTTTTTTAAGAAAAGCAAAATTGTTTTCAAAACTGTCTATATGTTCAGCTTTTAATATTCTATTCCAAAATCTTATAAAAACCTATTGAAAAGGAACACAACTTTAAACACAAATTAATAAATTTTCTATAAAAACCATTTGAAATGGAACACATTCTTTGAACAATTCATGATTTTTAAAACTTGTAATAATATTCCTAAACTTTGTTTACATGTGGTGGCAACACATCACAACAATGAATGTCTGATGAGAGTTGATGGCATTAAATATAATTACCGTTAAACTTTCAACTCATACTCAAGGTTTTTGTATGGCACTTTTTTGCTGAAACAAATGAAGCATCCGCTAATCAAAATGTCAACAAACGTTCGCAGAGGCAGTGAAGTTCACATGCCAAGTCGACAAAGAAAGAGTTCTAACTATGAACAAATTTCTTTTTTGAGCAAATCGTAAGCAAAAAGGATGAAAATCTGCTTATATGTCTCAACTGATAGATCAGAAAAACATTAGGTACAAATGAAATAATCAATAAATCTACCAGTTGAAAAACTAAGAATCAAGTAAAACATGTATGAAGTAATGTAAATGTGCAAACAAATCTACTGAGAAGATTAGTAGTGTAATGTTAACTATATAAAACTTGAAGCAATTGACAGCAGTATAAAATTGTTAGATCAGTATGTTGTAAAATGTTAGTAAGTTGTAAGCTAGCTTCATGCAGGTTGTAACTGCTGTGATTTAAACAATGTATCTTTAATTAAAACTTAGTTAAATAATAAAATTGCATCAGTGTTAAAACTAAACTAGTTGGTGTGTTTGACTAACTAAGTAAATAAAGATTGAAAAACACCTTCAACCAAAGCATTCAGTCAGAAGCATAATAAAATAAAGCTAATCAAAGCTAAAGAACATACTTTTCTACTTTTGGCTTTTCAAAATTTTACAGTAGTTTTTAGTTTCAGCCAACAACAAAAAAATTAAACAAAAGAGAAATCTATGCAAGCTGAGCAACTATTTTAAAAAACAGATGTATCATTAAATTTAGATTGATTTCTTAAAGACTTTAGAGACAACATTTTTATAAATTTTGTATAACCACAGAATAAATTACATTTTTTTATTATCTAGAATACTCATAATTCATTTTTTTTTACAAAATATAAATCAGATTGTGTAGTTTTTAAATTTTGCGCATGGAGAATCCACTTACTTGCGTAAACAAGCAAGACAAGGGAAGATACAGAAAAACCAGCTCTGCCAACGCCCACTTCTCTCCACATGTCTGAAGAGTTCTGAGATTGACATCTCTCCGTCTTCCTTGATGAAAGCCTGGATCTCTGTGTCAGGAAACCCATCTTCATAGTAGTGCTGCAACAGGGCAAGTATAATCTGTACTGATAACCTAATTCACAACTTCACCAGTAATCCACTTCACACAATTGATAGTGGCTCAAAATCCCAGGCCATTCACTTTCTGTAATGCAGCTTGTAAGGAGAATACTAATCAATTGACCCAAAAAATTTTACAAGTTGTTTACTTTGTAGTGAAATACAGTACATAATACAAGCCTGGCTTAAATCTAATCATACATTTTGTAGTAATGCTGCAATATGTTTAAGTACATGGACGCCTTGACTCAAGTAAAGAACCATTTTATACAATTTTTAATAATTTTAATAAATGTTACATTACACTAATCCTTAATAAGAAGTAGAAGATTAACTTTTTCTAGAAAGTTTACTGTGGGCCGAAGTTTTTTCTTTTACCATCATCTTGCCTTTGTCATTCTTACCGAACTAATCAACATTCACCCCAAGGGGATAAGGGTAGTGTTCAAAGTGTATTTAGTGTGTGCTGTGTTCTAAATGTCTTATACAAAGATTTGTGTGTTGTACAAAATGACTGCGAAACTACAGCGCTACTGCACAGCTCAGAGGGAACATGGCTGGTAATTTAATAAGTCAACTCTGCATCATCAGTGGCAGATAGTCACAGTTCAGTGACCACTGCCCTAGCTGGTTTAAACTAGTACTGCATACTTTGTTGGCAGATAGTCACAGTTCAGTGACCACTGCCCTAGCTGGTTCATCTTAAACTAGTACTGCATACTTTGTTGGCAGATAGTCACAGTTCAGTGACCACTGCCCTAGTTGGTTCATCTTAAACTAGTACTGCATACTTTGTTGGCAGATAGTCACAGTTCAGTGACCACTGCCCTAGCTGGTTTAAACTAGTACTGCATACTTTGTTGGAAGATAGTCACAGTTCAGTGACCACTGCCCTAGCTGGTTCATCTTAAACTAGTACTGCATACTTTGTTGGCAGATAGCCAATATGCTAACCACTGCCCTAGTTATTCCACCAAGCACCAATGCATCAAAATAGGCAAATTTAACAGCAACAGGAAAAACATAGTTTCAGTCATACATTCTTCTTCGTTCTTAATTTTTAGTGTTGGAAGGGATAGAGCCTTATCTGCCAGAGGGTTTGAACTCGACTTTTTTTTAAATTTATCAACCATGAGTTTTTAGCTGACTCGACCACGCCTCCATCACAAATAAGGATACGTCTCAACTGGTTTTGTGCCATTGAGTCGTACATTAACCCCTTTACCGTGTAAAAAAAATAAATTTTCTTTTGGAAATACTGTATTTTTTTTTTCATTATTTGATTTGTTATGTTGTCCTGACAAAATAAAACATCATTTTGAGTGAAAATGAGTTGACATTTAGAATTTATGAGGTAAATATAAAGAAGGTAATTCAAAAGCACAGTACCAACATCACATGATGACCTATTTTTATCATACGCTGTTGAATTAGCTGTTAGATTAGCCTCCCTCTACATTGTTATTGATTTCCAATGCTCGCGACGCACGGCACACAGACGACTTTTTTATCTGAAGACGAGTTAACTCGTGATGTACGGTTAAGCCCAAGATTTTATATGACGAGTTAACTCGTGACACACGGTAAAGGGGTTAAAAGCTGAGAATTTATTTTGTTATTAATGACACATGAAGAATCAACCCTTACCTTAAGATTTTCATAATTGTCCATGATAACAGCAATGAAAACGCTAATGACAACGTAGATGAACAAGGCAATGAAAACATAGAGGTAGACTCTATGGAAGTACCAGATGGCATCGTTAGTGTCTGGGTTGAGGGAAGAAAACGTCACGTACATGTCGTCACCATTCACAAGAGCAAAAAGACATTCAGAAGTCGTACTCAACTTCCGGAACTGAAATAATACAAGTAAGTTTTCAATGAACATATAGTTAGTCGTTACTAATGAAAATAGTTCATGAACTTACAGTTAGTCCTAATTAAACCAGCTATAGTAAGCTACAAGTTATAAATTTAATGTTAAAAAATGTAAAAGCAAATTTTTTATACCTTTATATGGTAGGGTGAAAAGACAACCCATCCACAAAATAAGAAACCAGCGTAGAGGCAGATGGCACAAAACAGGAACCTCAGTACATGTGGGAATGATGTTTTCAGGGTTAAGATCAAAATCTAAAATTAGAAATAAAGCATGAATGCTGGATTATTATTCTATTTTAAAATGCCTAAAAACTATGTGGTGTGAAAATTATGTTCAATAAATAAATATGACTATAACTCAGTCTAATGCCCTATTCCACTGCAATGGGTAAACCAAAAAATAACAGGTCTTTTTCTTATTTAGAACAGTATACACTTTGAATGGGCTTATATAGGCAAACCAATCAAATTATAAGAGTTCATAAAAACAACACCTACGTTGTAAGACTTGAAGAATCCGAGGTATCTCAATATCCCAACATAGGTTAAGAAGACACCTCCACCAAGAAGAATGCTGCAAACTGCATAATTTTCTGACGAGACTGAGAACACCTGCGAAGAAAATAATAAAATCTATCAACAAAAACTTTAGACAACTCTTATTTTATTGATTTTTTTTTGCAAGTTTTATTCTCAAACTTTTAGTAATTGATGCCTTTAGAAATAGTTTTTCATGCAAAAATTTACTTTACCTAAAACAAAAGTCTGGAAAGGCAATTAGCAATTTAAACTGCAGAAGGCTAGTTAATTAAATTGTACTAATTTCAACATCACTCATTATTAGTATAGAAGTTTGAGAATAAAAACTTTTTCTTGTATCAAGTAAGAAAACTAATATTTTTTTTAAAACTAATAAAACTCTAACTGAAAGTAGCAGAAACACAATTTATACTAGTAAGACTTCAAAATGTAGTCAAACTTACTCTGGTCTCAAGCTGTATCTTAAAGGACGAACCAACCACAGTTAGAATGTCATTGCATATAATCAATATGTACCACATATTTATGTATTCCATGTGATTGGAAAAACTGAGTGGTCTACCTTTGTGGATTTTAAAAAATGTAGCAGTGTCCTGAAAATTTAAAAAAAAAAAAATTATTGGACTTCACAAAATGTACTCAGAAAAGAAGCAGCTGAATATTTAACAACAAAAAAGCTAGCTAAAAATGCACATAGTAATTAGTGTAGAGAAAGTTTAATTAAATCACAAAACAAGATTTAGAATATCGAGCAGATATGAAAGTAATGCCATGGTCAGAGATGTAACTGCACGGCCCAAGAAAAATATGTAAATATTTTACAAAAGGGGGATGAGGGCAAATTTATCAAGAACTGCATATATCTGTTTCATATATAAAATTTCTTCAGAAAAGAAAACAGACCGGTTAAAAAAAATTCTGACTTTTTACTTCAAAATTTGGTCTGCATAAAAATTATGGAGGACAATTTTCCTCAAACAGAAAAAGCAGAAACATAACACCTCTGCACAGTTAATGCACAGTCTAGAACTTGATGCCACGCATGTGTACACAGGACATCCGTAAGTCCAGCCAACTGATTCAAGTATACATGAATCAGAAATGAGGTGCTAACAACACAACTCATTCACACATCAATGACACTGAAACAGACTTAATTCACCTGCCCTATGGACTAAATCTGGCTTGATAAACTGATAGAAGTTTAGTTTAATGAAAGCCTTCTTACCTGGCGCAATTTGTTGGAACGCTTCAGAGAACGGGAACAGAGAATAGTGGAAAAACAGCAGACCACAATAACAACAGCATCAAATGCTATTACTTTTACTTTCATTTTGTCTTGCTCATCTAGAAATAATACAAAATAGAAAGTATAATTAAGTTTTAGAATTTTTAAAACATTTCTTTTTGGGGGGTCATTTTTACACCTAAAAATCCACCTATAAGAGGCAAATTTAAAGTTTCATTGTAAACCAATGAAGTAATTATAGTACATTTTTAGTAATGTTTTTTCGACAAGTAATTCATTTAAAATAAACAATAAAATAGAAGTTTGTTTTAGTTTTACATATGCTACAAAGTACTTTAACAACCTAACAGCTAATTCTTTTTTAAATTACCTTGTGCTTCAGGGGACATAATTTTTCCTTCACATTCTATTTCCTCAGGTTTAGTCAACAAGTCTACCAAGAGCTGACCACTCCGCTCGCTGTTAGTGTAGATGACCTGAAATAATGAACAGGTGGTCAGCACTTTATTTTATTCGACCCTACATCAGAATCCTGGATCATATTTTATCAGTTTAAATTGTATAGTATTAATAAAATACTTTAAATTATATTCTTAGACACTCAATTTTATTGCTAAACAAAGTAGTTATAATTGTTGTGAAAATGTATGTAGGACAATAATGCTATATAATTTTTCCACTGAATTATTAGGATCTGAATTAGCCTTATGGTAAGTGTTATGTTTATGGTAGTAATAGTAATAATTGATTCAGCTTAGTTATATTATTTTTTATTAATTGCAATATTGATGGGAATTTCCTCCAACACAATTAACTTAAGCATTCAGTGTCAACATGTTGTGCCACAAATGGCCAGTTGACTACAATTTCAGTAGCCTACTTTTCTTTCTGGATTTGATTCCCTAGCCTTTAGCCACCCAATATCAATCAGCAAAACAATTTTTTATTTATTTTGGAGTTGTCTATCCTAGAAGGGTTGCTGTCCCCAGATATTGAACTTCATCTGGGTGGGATCAGAACTCAGGACTTTGAAAGTCAGCAATCATGAGATTAGTTCAATAGCCTGGTAATAGGCATAGGGTGATTCTTAGCAAAACACATTTTATGTGCTTAAGTCAGGCACCCACTTTATGCTTACCGATATATGCATATCATAGCATGTTGGTCCATAATGTGTCTCCAACAGATTCAGATGGAAAGTTCTGATATGAAACTTTAAAGTTATATCCAGTGTTCTGAAAAGAGAAATGGAGAAAAAGTCTAATCAATATCATGGGATCTGAAGATCAATATTCGAGAAATAAGTATAGAGATAATATACTTATAATAAGTCATAGGTAAAGTATAGAGGCCTACATAAAAATGATTAAGGATTGATAAACTATAACACTGACCTATTAAAAGGAAGAGTAAAATTCTTAAGCTTCAAATACTCTTTAATATCATATGTATGGTTGCTTAAACGCTTGACAGTTGTGCAATCTACAAGAGAAACACAGAATTTTATTTCAATGAAATAACTGAAAATGCATTAAATGTTTATTATTTTAAAAAACTAATAAATGTTTCATGATTTTTATCTCTACGTAACAAAATTAATGTAGTTATTACTGTGTATGAGTTGATGACGTACAAGAGCTTTGTAGGTGTTAGTAATTTTTAAAAAAAGAAGGGCTTCTCCTAGTTTTTAACTAGTAAGTTTCCTACTTTTAAAAAGTTACTGTACCACAAAAAAATATATATATAAGGAAACCCAATTAGGACATTTACTACACAATATAATTAAACTTACCACACTACATAGGGACCCTATCATGCTACATAAGGACACTTTCCACACTACTTAAGGACACTTACTACAATACATATAATAAAGACACATTACATAAGGGGACTTACTATGCATGACATCCGCAGATACTATATAGCTGCCATTATCATATTCAACAAAAGAATTGGCCCTGAAGCACAGGTCTATGGGGAGGTTCTTGTGGGTTGTTTTGTTCTTAAACAAGTTCACCTTAGCTAGAGATAGTTCTGGTAGCTGGTAATACTGCAAAAATTCATGGGAAAGTATGAGGAAAGAAGTAATGTCTGAAGGTTATCTTGCTGAATAATTTGAAAGTAATAGGAAAGTAGTCATTCCTAGAGGTAATATATATATATATATATATATATATATATATATATATATATATATATATATATATATATGTATGTATATATATATGTATGTATATATCTATATATGTATATATCTATATATATATATATATCTATATATATATATATCTATATATATATATATCTATATATATATCTATATATATATATCTATATATATCTATATATATATATATATATATCTATATATATATCTATATATATATCTATATATATATCTATATATATATCTATATATATATCTATATATATATCCATATATATATATATCTATCTATATCTATATATATATATATATATATATATATATCTATATATATATATATATATATATATATATATATATATATATATATATATATATATATATATATATATATATATATATATTATATATATTATATATTGTCCACTGTGACATGTAGAGCAACTTACCTGCTTCATGACATAATTCATGTGATCAAAAAGTTCTGGCATGGAGTAGATGGCATAGTCCCCTGCCGCAGGGGGGTAGGGCAGAGTTTCATAAGCTGTGCTCCAGTCCTTCAGCAGTAGATGCTTGTACGTCAGATCACTGCGTTCAAAGTACTCCACAATGTTTTCTCTCTGCCCTCCAAATATGATAACCTACAGGAAAAAATGGTTTAGGAACTTGTACAAAAAAGTGTATACTTGAAAACAAAAAGTTAAACGTAAAATCTATGATCATGTTTCTGGACTTGAACAATATAATAAAAAAAAATTGTTAAGGGTAAAAATAAGTTTTTCTAAATCACCTGTATTGTGATGAGAACAAGTTTGATGATCTGTAACGTCAGTTTCCATGGAAACCCGTGGAAGTTAAGAAGCTTGGTGATTGGGTCCAGGAAATAAAGCTTGTTCCTTTTACGTAGTTCGTCCACCATGGCAGGTGTGTAGTAAGATTTTTGTCTCTCAAATTTGGCTCTAGTCAAATGGGAAATGATAAATGGGAATGTTACAAGATTTTTGTCTCTCAAATTTTGCTCTAGTCAAATGGGAAATAATAAATGGGAAATAATAAATGGGAATATTACATGGTTTTTGTCTGTCAAATTTGGCTCTAGTCAAATGGGAAATAATAAATGGGAAATAATAAATGGGAATATTACATGGTTTTTGTCTCTCAAATTTTGCTCTAGTCAAATGGGAAATAATAAATGGGAAATAATAAATGGGAATGTTACATGGTTTTTGTCTCTCAAATTTGGCTCTAGTCAAATGGGAAATAATAAATGGGAATGTTACATGGTTTTTGTCTGTCAAATTTGGCTCTAGTCAAATGGGAAATAATAAATGGGAAATAATAAATGGGAATATTACATGGTTTTTGTCTCTCAAATTTGGCTCTAGTCAAATGGGAAATAATAAATGGGAATGTTACATGGTTTTTGTCTCTCAAATTTGGCTCTAGTCAAATGGGAAATAATAAATCGGTATGTTACATGATTTTTGTCTCTCAGATTTTGTTTTAGTTAGATGGGAAATGATAAATGGGAATTTTACATGGTTTTAGTCTTTCTAGGCTTGTTCTAGCTAGATGGAAATATACGATGTGCAATAATATTTCTGTCTCAGCAGTTTTTCTAATGATCTTAATGGATGGGAAATAATAAATGGGTAAATGATAAGACTACTGTCTAAGAAATGTGTCAAATTATTCTAGCTAGAATGGAAGAAAAGCAAAAGATACGATGTACTCTACAGATGCACAGCTAATGATACTCTTTAGCTTGTCTGAGCATGGGCTTTTTTTTTTTTAATTTGTTATGCTAAATAAATTAGAACTGCTATCTTTGAAAAATGTGTGTATCTAATTTAGTTGGATGTACAAAATTAATTTGCAATTAAGTGATACTGACTTGGTGATTTATCAACATACTTTACTTAATCTTTTGATATTGTACATGCTGTGTATTTAAAATAATTAACTTAAATAACTGAATTAAAACTGAGTCCCACGTATGATAAGGTTGTTAACCCAGTACCTGTTAGTGTGGATGTGGCTATCATGAGCAAAGATAGACTTACTTGTTAGTGTGGTTGTGGCTATCATGAGCCAAGATAAACTTACTTGTTAGTGTGGTTGTGGCTATCATGAGCCAAGATAGACTTACTTGTTAGTGTGGTTGTGGCTATCATGAGCAAAAATAGACTTACCTGTTAGTGTGGATGTGGCTATCATGAGCAAAGATAGACTTACTTGTTAGTGTGGTTGTGGCTATCATAAGCCAAGATAAACTTACTTGTTAGTGTGGTTGTGGCTATCATGAGCCAAGATAGACTTACTTGTTAGTGTGGTTGTGGCTATCATGAGCCAAGATAGACTTACTTGTTAGTGTGGATGTGGCTATAACAAGCCAAGACTGACTGACTTACTTGTTAGTGTGATTGTGGCTATGATAAGCCAAGATTTAATGACTTACTTGTTAGTGTGGTTGTGGTTATGATGAGCCACATCCTTGGGCACATCACTGTTGTTTACATTGCCAGAATCTGAACTAAAGCTACCATAGTTCCGTATTGCACTTGCCAAGTCGTCCATTTCTAAACATCAGAGAATACAAAACAGAAAATGCTCAGTATGGAGTAAAAAGGTTACAGAATAAAAAGGTATTCAGTAATGAGTGACATAGTGACATAAACCCATTCTGACATTGCTATGTTCTAATGCTCAATATACTGTTGAACAAAACAAACACGTCAAATTTTAATCTTTGTTTGTTTCATTTTAAACAATGCTATTAAAGTAGTTTCATAAAGTATTTACAAAATATAACAACACTTCAAAGCTAGGCTTAAGTATTCACCAACTCAACTAGATCCCCATCAGAGCTATGCCAAGGCATCACTAAGTATTCACTGAATGACAAGGCCCATTGAAAGTATTCACCTACTCAACTAGGCCCCATCACAGTTAAGGTATAGCTTCACAAAGTATTCACCTAATCAACTAGGCCCCTATCACAGTTAAGGCATAGCTTCACAAAGTATTCACCTGATTGCCATGTGAAAAGGACAACAAAAAAAGATATTCAGTGTGACAGCTGGATGATTTGTCACCCATGACATGTTTATAGCCTTTAAAGGGGGACAACTCCTGCAGTGTTTTGTAGAACATATAGGCTATATTTGGTTTCTGGGGTAATTACATTTTAGTCCAGACATATGTTAAGTTTATTATGTTAAAATAATTCAGCTATCTAATTTAAACTGTATTAAATTTAGCTTGGATTTTAGAATTAGTTAAATGTTTTTCAACTGTTCTTACAGCTAGTCATAATAATAAATGTTTGAATTTTTTTTTTTACCATAATGAGCTAGTATAACATAATGGAATGACAAAATAATGAATATGTTGTGAAAACCTTCTAAAAATGTACAGATTGCTGGGATTAAATATCCCACTGGATAGAGCTAATATAATAAAAATGTACAACTTCTACCACCCAATTAGTACCAGGTATCTGACAGTGTTAATTATAGCAGTGCCATAAACGTTTGCAACTGTTAAAAGCATCATGTGACAGCAAGCTGCTCATAAGGGGAAAAATAAAGTTCTACATCTGGTGTACTAGAAAATCAACAGCTGTGAGCTTCACTAACATTTGTAAGCTAATTAATTTAAGCTTCTAATGAAGTAACTTATTCAGAAAATATCTGAGAACCCATCCAAAATATAGAGGTTTTTTTTAAGTTTATAAAATCATGCACAGAAGCTGTAGTCACATAAATCTTTAAATATAACTCACCTCCTTTCCAGAACAATTATTCTTTTAAATATAAAATAATTACAGACTGCCCATAGATGGTTTGATAAGCAATATTAACAATTAAAGTAATTAATGAAATGCACATGCCAATGAAAACTGCCTGTAAAGCTATGGGATGCGTTCAGCCATGCAGTGTAAAATAGATAAACCAAAATTATACAGGAAAAATACATTGCAGATTTCAGAGGACCCTAAGATTAAAGGATTACAAAACAGCTTCTAACTAAAATCTTACACGAAAGGTAAAGCAGAATTATGATGAAGCAAAGTATGTCATATAAAAAATGTGAGTACAAAAACACAAGAAATAATTAAGTTCCTAATCATTGTAATATTAGAACATCACATTTTTGTGTACAATATAAATTCATGTCTATTTAGAACATGTGCACAAATCTACTTTTTATGTGCGACAGTAATTTTTATAAATATTTAAACCTGTTACCATAAAAATTATATTTTATAACATACGGTAATAAAGTATTAAAACAAACACTTGTGCTCATCGTCTATTGATCATCACACAAAAAAACATATTTTCATTTTAAAACTGCTGCAGCTGCTACATCCCAGCTTAACACATTTTGAGAAAAACAAAAGTTGAGCATAGGCTCAAGTTGTCATGAAACCTGCAGCTACTATTAGGAGAATATTGGAGTTTATGACACTAAAGAGTGCTTGAGAGCTAACTACCTTTACATAACATTATAATACCACAAAAACAAAGTCCAAGGTTCATTTACAAAAACAATATCTTGACTCTTAAAAACACCATAGTCAATACAATTAGTATGTCCATTAACTTTTACAAATTAATGCAGATTTTATTTTAAATGTAATTAAAATAAGATTGAAAAGATTAATAGCCAGTTATTTTCTTTTTACCTTGTATCATGCTTATATTTTTGTATAAAAAATACACAAACTTTAATCCCCTTTCAGACCACTTTCCCTACATTTCATTCTGACTTTTTAATGTGCAGCACTAAAACCCAATCAGCTGTAAATTAAGCAATGGCCGGTACGGGGCTTGAAGTCAAAGTTAAAACTCATGCCCTGATAAGTTATCACAGGACATTTGATGATGGTGTAATTAAATTTAAAGATAACAGAGGCAATCAGGTTATCAGTCAACTTTTTCTTGTTCATTTAGTGGTTAGTGGGTTCATGAAAAAACAGGAATTATAACCAGGTGGAGAAAACCATGGAAGAAATCAGGGGAAATTTATACAACATAACTAAAATGTTACGTCTTCAGTTTCATGAGGCATTTTTTTTCTGAGTGATGTTACATAATAACAGTAATCAGAGTGATGACAAAACTCTATAATAGCACTAATAATTAATGTCCATTGTGGGATGGCATGGTCAAATGGTAGAGAGTTTGGCTGCTAGCCCAAAGGTCTCAAGTTCAGATCTCTGTTCAGACTTAAGACTGTAGGACATCCTTAAGTCCGCCCAGCTCTGATGGGTACGTGACTTATGGTGGGGAAAGTGAAGGTAGCATGGCATCCACACCATCCCTTCATATGTCAAGATGAAGAAACATGAACTCTACTTCAACAGACTAATGGACTGCTAGGCCTAAAAAAATTTTTTTAAATGACAAGCAATTTCACATTAAGGAACAGGAAGCAGTTAGAAATGTGAAATCAAAATGAATACTATAATAGCAGCAATGAAAAAGTGTATAAAAATACCAATTATCTTAGGAAATAACATCGAGTATTGAAAACAAGATTTCACTAAAAAAATAAATTGACATTTCAGGGTAGATGCATTCAAAAAATTTTCTTTCCCTTTATGACTACCCCAACGCTGGCCCTAAACACAACCCTAATCTAAACACAACCCTAATCTAAACACAACCCTAATCTAAACACAACCCTAATCTAAACACTGACGCTACAATTTACAATCCAGAACGGATACAATATCCATAATGTGCATTGTCCTATTAGCATTGTTGGAAGAAACTAACTGTTACTAAAGTACCTCTAGACATGTCTGCAGGAAAAACACTCTAGTTGTTTTTATGATGCCAGTGTGTATACTGTATATTGGGACATTTGATCCCCAGTAATCTCTGGCTAAAAACATCACTAGTGCTATCAGGCATGCTTGTTTGTGTTCCAAATGAAGGGTAGATCATTTATGATTAACTGGAAGGAAATACACAAACTGGGTTGTTCCCCTTGTCAAAGCTAGTGAATTACTTGCTCATTTGGAGTCTACTATATGATTAAAAAAAAATTAAATGAATGACATGATTATTAGGAGTCTAATAATATCATTTAAGGAATGAAATACTTGATCATTTGGTGTCTACAAGACAATTCAAGAAATTAATGTTTTATAACATGATGTCTATAAAAGATTTAATATTTTAAACTAATTTTAACAATATATCAATTTCCCTAAATTGTATTTTTATAATCAGTGTTTGTGTTTAAAATGTGTCTGTACAAGCCTTTTTACAATAATCACCTATCAATACAAACAATGTTTAGTAAATGTCTTCATCACCTGTTATCACAAAGAAAAATTCACTGTACTGAAAATGACCCAGATTCTTGAGATTTTGTCAATGGGTCAAGAATTCAAAAGCCACAATTAGATTAATGAGTGTAACAAATCACTTCCTGGGAAGGTATTTATGAAACACAGTCTGGAATAGAAACATTCTGAACTCTTGCCTTTTAAAATTTTATTATCTAAGGGTGATGAAAAAAACACTTTAAAAATTACAATTTTATTTTAAAACTCATCTAAAAAAATTAATTTTCATTTTAAAATTTTAAAACAAGCTGTTTTATTAAATGTGATTTCAATTAAAATTTTAAAATAAAATATAGATAAAGTATGTGTATTTCTAAATTTGGATATGTTGATTTGTATGTGCCCTGGTATCTTTAAAGTACACATCTCTAGAGTGGTAGAGTGGGGTCAACAAAAGCAGGGATGTGGTACATAGATAACCAGATATGTTAGCTAATACTAGACATTTTATAAATCAGAATTACAATAGTTAATTAATTTAAACTCATGCAATCATACAGGGTTAAAGTGTTCACTGAAATTTTTTTAATTATCTTTATTTGATAGGTAATTAAATAAGGTTTTCTAGTTCATCTCAATTTTCGAATATTAACAAATACATATCTAAAATACAGACACTTATAGGAAGCAGGTAATAATTAAAGGAAATAAGGATTTGGTTCATCAATTTTAAGGTGACAAGTATTTTTTTTAATTTTAAAAAAAAATAGAAACTGGTAAAAAAAAAAATTAAAATATGAGACAAAATTTGTCATTTTTAAGCATGTTACTTTAAAATGATAACACTTTAAATAGAAACATAAATTTTAATAATCTTTAAAGTATATGCACTATATGAGTCTGAAGATGTACAAGCAATTTAATAAATCATCAGTAGCTAAATATTATTATACAAATTTAAGACAATAGATTGTGTAACATTTTTTATAATTTTAGTATCAGCCATCTACAAGTATAACAGAACATCTCAGACAAGTAGTTAAATACCTACCACGGTTTAAGGGATCTCGCCTGGAGGTGGCTATTTAACAAACAGAATATCAGACATTAATAGTTGGTATAGTTATTCTGATGTACTGCACAGTTACATTGGTATAATATTCTACAGTTACAAAAAGCAGAATCATGTAGTGCAAGTACGTTCGTAAAAAATACTGAACTTCTAGCCATGCTAAGGCCAGAAAAAGCTTTAGCGTGCAGGTTTGAAATAAAAATATTTTTAATTACAATTTATTATTTAATTTAGTAATTACATTTTTTATGAATGGATAACGCTGAAAATTTAATGTGGAAATTTTGATGAGCACCTTATAATTTTTTCCACTGCCGTATAACTACGGCAAAGTGTGTACATTTCAAACAATATGGCAGATCACTAAACCAAACCCTACCCTAGTATGAAGATTTGACCTGCCTTTAAAATTATAATTTTCAAATCTTGAGTTTTATCACATGCCAGAACAGTACCCAAAATTCATTTCTACAACATTGAGAAAACGATTAGTTACCCTTTACAAAAAGCATAAAAATAATAAACAGATCTGTATCAATATCCAAATACCACCAACAAATGCTATGTTTAAAATAAAATACATCCCATACTCACAAACAAAATATTTTCAAAAAACTATTACCATACCAAAAATATAGATTTCTGAGGAGGGTTTTTAAAACAGGGTCAATATTTACTTCAGTTTGTCTTTCTTAACATTAGAAGTTTAGTTTCTGATATACCTGTTTTAAAATCTATTAATCTGTGAGTGATACAAAGTATTATTTAGATTAGTTATATTTTTATATCATAGCTTGTTGTAAATGTAAACAAATAAGAAGGGGGTGACCAAACAATGGAAATATGTATGCCCAGTGAAACTAATATTTTCACTTCAATATAATCATAGTCGCTAAAAAAATTTTTAAAAGAAATATATAAGTAAAGAGTTAAAAAAAAAACTCACGTCCTCGAGAGCTGTTTAAAAGTTGAGTAGAATCATCAGGATCTGCTTGAGAATCACCGGTGTTTGCAACCGTTACTTGGACATCTACATGATGAGGATGGCTTGCTGTCCTTGACCTAGAGCGTCGTCTTCTGCTGTGCCGATGGCCTTGATCAGGCTGCAGGAAACCACTACCATCTGGGTCATCCTCTTTGAAAGAGTTACCAGAGTCTTCAAAACGCCTGGAGCATGGACTGGGGCTTCTGCTCCTAGTTTGAGAATTTGCCACCTGCAGAAATGTATTATAATAATCCCATAAATGAAATAACAAAAATTACACTTGGATTCTGTCTCTTAGTCGGACCTGCATTTTCATATTGACACTGCTATTGATAACATTGCCATAAGGTATAAATATATGTAGACTGTCTAATGCACTAGTACACCAATTTAAAAACTGACCCTATCCATGCAGGCAAGGCTAAACAATAAGTTGACACACAGATTAGATTAAAAAAAAACAACTCTTCAACAAAGACACCCATTGAGATTATCATTATTTCCAGAGATAACATGCTCCTATAGTGTCCTATAGGCTATAGCCTATGTATCCAAAAATAAATGACTAAGCTTCTGTTATGCAATTCATAAAAGAAATATTCCCATATTAGAATATAATTTACATTGGGCTTTTTTCAAAGTAAATCATATGTGTCTATATAAAATTATAAATAAAAGAATGTTTGTTAGTTTGTCATCTCTCTGTTAGCCTTTCTTCCATTACTACAACTATGCCATTCAGCTGACCACCATGAAACTGTATGAAGTTGTTGAGTGCACTTCTCCTAGAAATGTTTATGACCTAAAAAAACTTAACATCAGAGGGGCAGTGTGTGGGCCCCTCGCACTAGGTCAAACTAAACCAGGGGCCACATTCTATGTGTGTAGTTGTGTGATAAAATGAGAACCATATTTATTATTGCCTAAATTAGTTTAAAAAATACAAATCGAAGAGTGGGGGCCCTTGTTGTAGTGTAACAAGTGGCTCCAAAGAGCACCCTGACACCTTGGCGGTGGTCATAGGGATCATGATCAATGTACGTTCAAGGCATTCAATTGATACAGTGTGGACAAAACTAGTGCTGACATTGTTAACATTTAATTTGCTTTAACAACTTAAGACCTAATCAATCAAAAACTATAGATTTAAATCATTTGATATTTAAAAATAGCTGAAAGTGAAAATTGATAGGCCTGCAGCATGCTGATATTTAATCCATTTGATGGCAATTTACAAAACAAATGAGGGTTTAATAAATGCAGATTTTAAATGGCCTACTCCCTGAGAACATTTGGCTTTTAGTTTTTTTAATTAAGAGGCCTAGAATAGACCCCTGCCATATCTATATATACTTAGAATCTATATAGTATATAGTACTATATACTATATCTATATATATACTCATACTGCCCCCCCCCTACTAGATCTAGCTAGATCTAGAAGCTAGACTTAGACTGTCTTAGAGACTAGAAATCTATTGTAGCTGAGAATCTAGCGTCACTAGAGAAGAGATCTAATCTAATCTAGAATCTAGATCTAGTCTAGATCTAGATTTCTACGCAAGTCTAGATCTAGATCTACGTCTTAAGTTACTTAACTATTTTATTTACTCTAATGATCTCTAATCTAGATCTATCTACTACTAGAATAAGAATCTATCTAGATCTAGATCTAGTCTAGATCTAGATCTAGTAAAATATTAGATCAAGTAGGCCTAATGTAAAAATTGTAATTCTAATCACATCTAATCGGATAAGGATAAGATACAAAAAAGATAACTTTTTATCGCACTCTATTGTTTTATCAGTGATCATACTGAGTATAAAAAGCCTTTCTTGAAAGAATTTGTATTCAACTTACAACGTATTGCGATGCCATTGTTGTTTATGTGTTGCTAAAAGAACCAGAAGTGTGTGAATATTTCCGATGGTTTATGTACAAAAATAGATGTCACGAGACCTTGTCGTAATCGTGTTGTTGTCTAAAGCGATTCCGATTACGGAGGACTTGAAAATTTAGATCCTTTAACGTAATAAACACTACTTCGACTTTCCCATACCAGAAAGAGTGTAACTTTAAATAAGTGTGTAGTAAATACTTTTAACAAAGTAGGTCATTAGCTATGTAGATTGAAAACAAAGTTCAGTGCTGATTGACGCTTAACAATAACATTATTACACTGGCAACAATACCTGGCTAATGGGCTTACACTTCATTTGTTTGTATTAATTTTAGTTGCCTCTCCCTAGCCATAATGACATGTACTCGTGTACTGTGTAAGATGAGGCCAAGAAATAATTAACTTGCAAGCGTAAAAAGTATGCGGTTAAATCCTAATGACAAAGTAACTTGACTAGATCTAGAGATCTATCAGAAAATGTAGGCCTACATATCCCAAAAGGATTCACCAAACTATAGCACCCAAAAAGTTCGCAAACGACGAATTGCATGGCTCCCAAAAATATAGCTCATTAAAATGTAGGTTTTCTCGTCAACAAATATACAAGTGCATCAGGAGTAGCTGACCATGTTATGTGAATGTGTGCTACTGCGAGAGTAAATATGTTGATAGAGTTTAGTTCACTGCGGGGACCTAAACAATAGAGAGGAATTCATGTTATAATAGTTGCAGTAAGAGTATTTTTATGGATGCAAAACAGGTTAATTTTGGAAAGAGTTTTTTAATTTTCCGCTCCCCTTTTGGGAGCTCTTCTCCGCAGTAGTATTGGCGGGGCACTTTTTTGCACGCTTTAAAGAGGGGGCATATTTAGTTGAGAGTCATATTGAAGATGTAGGATCAGCTGTTTGTCGTAAAAAAAAAAAGTAAATCAAATTGACTGGAGCCATTATGTCGCAGACATTACTGCAATAGAGGTCTGTTTTGATGCGGTACTTTTGTGAAAAACTCTTCCAATTAGGTCGTCAAGACCAGGTAGTTTTTTCGAGGATTGTTTTGGCACGACAGGGCTCAGAATTTTGCTTATAATCCATTTTTTTTTCTAAACATCATTATTATTCCTCACAAATAATAACTATCTACAATCTACACAAACAGATAAAAATGAGTGGGTAATAAAAATAATCCATATATATAGATGTAAGGGTATCGACTAGACATTTTTCTACGGGGGTGGGGGCACTTAAAACTTCCGTGGGGTGCACTTAATTTTCGGTAGGGGGCAGTGGAGTCGGACACTGGTTAGTCTATATTTTCTAAACAAATTATACTTTTTCACACTTCGCCCAGAGGAGATTCCCTTCAGACAGCTGGTTATGAATATAACCAATGTCTATTAGGCTAGTATTTGTGTGATTGTCTCGCTCATCGGGGTCCAGAGGCGTAGCGTGGGGGGGGGGGTACATATGTCCCCGGGCGCCGACCTTAGGGGGCGCCAAAATGGGTTGGAAAAACAAATTATAGTTTGAGGGGGGTGCAAATCGAAAGTTTGAGGGGGGGGGGGTTGCAAATGAAAAGTTTGAGGGGGGGGGTGCAAATCGAAAGTTCGAGGGGGTGGAAATCAAAATTTGCTCCCGAGGGGGCGCCAAATTGAAAGTTTGTCCCCGGGCGCCGGGAAGGGTCGCTACGCCTCTGTCGGGGTCGTCCATAAAATGAAGTCACACTCGTAGTGGAGAGATTTGTCCGTATTGACTGTGTGATGGGGGGGGGGGGGGGGTTCAGATAGTATGACGTCATACTTTTTCATTACAAAAATAATGTTAGGAAGCTAATTTTAGCCGTTATTTCATGTGTTAGAAAATTGTTTTCATAAATTGTAATAGAAATTGTTATTGTCAGAAATTGATTAAAATGCTCTATGTTGACCGAGCTTAGTCAAGATTTTAGAAAAAAAATCGCTGTTTTAAGGGAGGGGGGGGGGGGGGGGTGGGAGTCTGTGTGACGGAGATGAGGGGGAGGTAAAAATAGTCAGAAACGCGTGACGCCATTTATGGATGACGTCCAAATGCTCCTTACTATAAAAACTACGTTGAAGTTAAAGATTTGGATTAATTAAAGTGAGTGATAGTCCACGTGACGACCTGGTTTTTAAGCTGTATAAATGCTGCTCTTCAATAGCGATAGTAATAGTATCTAGATCTATATCTTACGATATTTCGTACGCTATTTTCGACAACTTTGTCCCCATCCCTTGCAATGAGGCATATCGTATAGGCTTCAAAAGGACAGAAATCCTACGCCTAAAAATCACTTTACAATGCACCCCCCCAGAGGCGTAGCGACCCTTCCCGGCGCCCGGGGACAAACTTTCGATTTGCACCCCCCCCCCCTCGAACTTTTCATTTGCACGGCCCCCCCCCCCCCTCAAACTTTCAATTTGGCGCCCCCCCCCTAAAGTCGGCGCCCGGGGACATATGTCCCCCCCTCGCTACGCCTCTGCCCCCCCCCCCCCCCCCCAATCGTATTGAAGACCAAACGGTTCGAGATACTAGATAACACAATTTGAAATTACATAATTTTCACCCCAACATAAGTCACACCAAAAGCCACATGGTTTGATTTGAATAGTACTAGAGATTTCGTCATTGTTTTGATAGCTTACTTCGGTGTCACTACATTGGGGCGGTGATAACGCGAGAACGTGACTTAGCCTCGTGACCTTCATACAGTTGGTTACGTCGACCCTTGCCTAGTCTCGTGACCCATTAATTGGATGACCAATTCTTTCTCCCAGCTCATACTATTGACAAAGGTGAAAGGTTGGGCCATTCCATTGTGTTGAACCACAGCAGCGAAGCAGACAAAACCACCCCCACCTTTAACAATGTTTTACTCCCAGCTCATAATATTGACACAGGTGGGAGATTTGACCATTCGATTGTGTTGACCACAGCGAGACTTACATCTAGGCCAATTAGCATTAGAAGGAATACGTCTGCATACTTCGTTAAAGTGGCATGGGCCAGCCCTCCCCCCCTCCCTACTTCGTATCATATAAGTCTGACAAACACAGTGAACCAACAAAGAAGAAAACAGAGTTTCTTCCAGGCATCTCTTCGAAAAAATTTTACCGCCCCCCCCCCCCGAACGAAATGAAATTTATATAATTTATATAGAAAATATATACTTTTAACAGTGTCCGCCCCCCCCCCCCCCTCCTTCGGGCCTTGCTATTAATGGCCTGATGAAATAGAGAAAGAGACCACCTGTTTATTGGGACCGAGACACATGGTTCGTGTGGTCAGCTGTATTCCCTTTCCATTACGTGAGTCAGGTCAGCTCTGGGTGGATTCATTATACGCTCTACGTAATCAAGCCTGTAATGCAACGCTTCTTTGAATTGGTTGGACCCTCAACCTTTCCCGTTATCACAAAATTCTGGTACACAATTTTTTTTAAAATTTTAATGTGGAAGAGTGGCAAGGAAGGGTTCCAGCCACATTTTGTATTAGTCTAAATAAAAAAGCGTGACCGCAGTCAGAGGCGTAGCGACCCTTCCCGGCGCCCGGGGACGATTTGCACCCCCCCTCAAGCTTTCAATTTATTTTTCCAACCCATTTTGGCGCCCCCTAAGGTCGGCGCCCGGGGACATATGTCCCCCCCCCCCGCTACGCCTCTGACCGTAGTAAACAAAAATTTGAAACTGAATTTTTTTTTTCATTTTACCTTACACATTTCGAGGTACATTTTAATACTAATAATACTGTCGTTCAACCAATATTTATGTAAACCCTGGTAATGAATAAATACCTTTAAATATGTGTAGGTCTGTTACAAAAATTGCCGTGAATTTTTAGAGAACAATTAGGTATTTTGTGAGTAGAATTTATATAGAAAATATAAACTTATACCAGTGTCACACCCCCAGAGGCGTAGCGACCCTTCACGGCGCCCGGGGACAAACTTTCGATTTGCACCCCCCCCCCAAACTTTCATATGTCCCCCCCCCCCCGCCCGCTCCCTCGCTACAACTCTGCACACACCCCCCCCCCTTCCCCGGTGAAAAAAAAAGTCTTAAAGACTTGAACATCAAAGCCAGACTATTAAAGAAAAGGATAAGGGTAAAGGGTTAATTGGAAATAGGGGCTTCAGTTTTGAGTGTGTGAGTGGAGGGGAGGAGGGGGGGTACATATTTATCACACTGGGTAGGCTAGTACAAGGCATGAGTGCTAACCTGAAAGTTTCGCGTTCGGATCCTAGGTTCTGTTGGGTATGCTTACATAACTGTTGTTGGAGAAAGTAAAGGCTGCAGGGCATAGAAAAAGTCATCACATTATCCACATAATCTGTAGCAGTGCACACTATTTTGCTTGTCCGAAAGGGTACTTTTACTTTTTAATAATAAAGTGTAAAAATAGTCATATTCATCTCTTCATTCACTGAAGTATCTTATATTTTAGTATGGGCTAAGCTTGTATAAAATTTTACAAGCCCCCCCCCCCCCCCCAAATTCAATACCAGGAGTTTTAAAAAAAACAGCATCATCATTCATTTCATAGTTTATTGCCTTTTACATTTCATTTTCACTGAGTTAAATATCTTACTTTAAAAATCAATTGCAATTTTATGCAAACATTAGGCCTGGGATACATAAAATATGGACATTAACATAAAATATGGACATTAACACCATGACAATTTTTTTTATATAAGTTGATCTGGTGGAAAAGAGCCAGTTTAACCAACAAATATCAGTAATTGATACAGCAGACTTTCAACATACACATATTTAGGGAAATAATGGCAGACTTTCAACATACACATATTTAGGCATATAATGGCAGACATCCCACATACACATATTTGAGCAGATAATAGCAGATAATAGCAGACTAACAAAACACATTGTTAATGCCTCCAGCCAACTTCATGCCCATCTATCATTTGAGGCTCTAAAAACCCCCTAAAACTTTTTCCATCAGCAGACCACCGTAAGCCATAGCCATGCTCCTGCCTGGCTTCTATAATAAACACATCATGAGGCAGCCAATGTATATTTATCCACACTGCGTTATCAAGTATTTTATTCATCAATGTCAGAGAATGTGCATTTTTTTCAGACTCCGTACCAGTACAATTGCCCCACCAGGATTCAGACTGATCTCTGTGATAATGTTTTGCTAGTGCTCTAGCCCCTACCCACAGTTCACTATTGGCAGAATGTTTGGCTGTGAACGATTCCAGCAACATTTTTCGAGATGGGGGTAGTAAATCTTTGGTTCCTACTGTTTTTCTTACTCCGAGAAGATCTAAAATCCCCCTGAGCCCTAAAAGAACAAGTACTTCACGCACTCTGTATTTGATCTCATCATCTGTCCACAGAGTCCAGAGAGTCTCTAAGCCTTCCAGTAAAGGGGTGATAGATTTTATTGTAGCTGCCCGTAACTCTTTGTAACTCTTTTCATCCAGCAGGTCAAAGCTAATTAATTTAAAGTGTAAAGCATCATTATAATTAGCAATAATTAAGATCAGATACAAGTTATGAAAGAACATACTTTTGCAATTAAATAGAAACTTTAAAAATTTGTACCTAGGGAGATCCAACACGGGACAATGCTTTTCTGAGAGCCATAAGGTCAACATATTTGCAATTTCGCGGTACAAGGGGTAAGTTGGGTAGCCAATTATTGAGTTTCTGGGCACTTTTTCATCACTATCTTCTTTCAGTAGTATCGTCAACTCATCTTGTGTTAAAAAAGAATCACTTCTTTCCATCTCATCCTCAAAAACCTTGAATGAAACATCAAAATTTACTTTTTTTTAAAATAAATAATAGTTGGTATTAACGCAAGTTAAAAATACACTTTACATTGTCATTATAGTATATGATAAATAGGCCTATTAATAAATATTAAATAAATCATGCATGTTAAATTATAACATAAACTTACTTTTTTCACATACTCATCCATTTTAAAAGTTCCTCCTAAATTTGGCATGATGAAAAAAATGGGCTATGGAAAAATGAAAAAAAGTGATATTAGGCCTAATGGTTGTTTTAAAATTATGAAAATTTTATTCTTTCTGGTTTTATATAAAAGATGAAATTGACTTTTGTTGACATTATTCATTAAGAAATCAAAATTCAATTTGCTACTAATAATAGAAGTGGAATGCAGGCACTCAGGTTACACTCATACACTGCTGACACTCACTCACTGACAGTGAGATAGGCCTATTTATTCAGGGCCGGCGCTATTAGGGGGGTTGCCTAGGGCGCTATCCATAGCCATAGAAGGGCGCAAAAAATGTGTAATCTGATTAGTAAAAAGTACATAATATAATAGGCCTATATATAATAGGGGGGGGGGGGCGGGGCTGAAAAGGAAATTGCTGGGGACGATCTGTCCGGGATTCAAAGGGTCGATTCTAAATATCACTTATGCCTGTGTATTGTGTATTAATTGTATTTTTATACTATTACTAATACTATTATACTGTAGGCCTAATTAGTAACTAATTACTAATAAAGTTGAATATTCACGAATAATATTTAGTTAGCCTAATAGGTAATCTATCGTTTTGGGTACGTAAAATCGCCCGCGACTAGTAATGTGAAAAACAGGTGACTCCTTACATTTTAATAATTATTTCACATTTTGAGGAGGATTTATGTTTTGAAAAATACAAAAATGTTTCCTTGTTTCATTTATGTACCTGTTTTTAAACAAGTGAATTAAAACTTTTCAGTAATAAATGAACACCAGCGATGTTTCCAACAGATGCAACCATGCTCATTTACTATAGCAGCCATCTTGTTAAAGTTTTATTTTTATAGACTGATAGCGCGAGATTCAGGCGGAAGTCACTCTATTTTACAAATGGCTGCTGTTTATATAGCAAATCTTGCTTGCAGACACTGCTGTTTAAAGTTAATTTCTGGCCTATATTGATATATTTAGCCATTGATTTAGGTTTATTATTCATTTATCTATAATATTTGACACAAACATATCACAATATACTTCTTTTACAGCCTTGACAATGAGGTAACGTTTTCGTACATTAATAGCCGCGGGCGATTTTACGTACCCAAAACGATAGATTACCGCCTATAATTAATATAATACAATACTTTAACTTTTTAATAATACAATTTTATTCATTGAAACACTTCTTCTGTTGAATGTTTATGTAACCGTACTTAATTTTGGTCGTAGAATCTAGATCTAGATCTATTACTTTCTCGTCATATCCAATCCTAATCTGTAAATCTAGATCCAGCTATATATTCTATTTGACTCTAGATTAACTACTAGTACTTAGATCTACATCTTGTGGTTTATTTACGGTAACTACCGTTACTTCCGGTGGTCGATGGAGAAACTTCAGCCCCTCTCAAAAATTAAATGGTTTATTAATTTAAATATTTTTAAAATAATTAAATTCGGCGTAATTAAAATATTGTGGTTATGTGACTATACTTAGATTGGATGTATAAGGTTTTACCGAAATTTTTAGTATTTTCGTTAAATAAAAATATGATAAAAACACCAAAAAACAATTTGGTTGTTTTCATTTTTTTCACTGGTAAACACAAAAAATGGCAGAACTAAAGCATGTGGTTTAAAAGAAAAAAATTAATGTTACTTTAAAATAAATTGATGGAAAAAGTTTTGAGTACAAATTAGATCTTGATTTACTACCAAATGGGGGTTTCGGAATATCCATCACGGAGTTTTTGTACAGCCAATCAATGTTTATCTTATGAAAGCGAAACAATTACAGGTTAGGCGTCGTCCATAAATGACGTCACACTTATAGGGGGAGGGTACGTAATTTTGTGACGGTGTGTGATGGGGGAGGGGGGTGTTCGGGGGGGGGGGGGGGGTGGGAGGTGTTCAGGTGATGTAACGTCACACTTTTGCATTTATAAAAAGCAATGTTAGAAAACTAAATTAAGCCGTTATTTCGCGTTTTAGAAAACTGTTTTAATGAAATTGTAATAGGAATTGATTAAAATACTCTCATGTTGACAGAGTTTAGACAAGATTTTGGAAAAATATCGAATTTTAAGAAAAATTCAACTGCAATTTTGAAGGGAGTTGTAGGCTGAGGTGTGACGTCATTTTAGGGGGGGGGGGGCTGGCTTTTTGTGACGATGTGTGACGGAGGGGGGGGGGGGTCAAAATCGTCAAAAAAAGCGTGACGTCATTTATGGATAACCCCTTATAACTTATTAAACTTAGCCTACTAACTTAGGCTTGACGCAACTAAATTGTAATTAGAAATGTATTAATGTAGGTTAGCCTACCGTAGGTTGCCTTAAAGTACTTAAACTCATTAAACTAAAATGACGAACCCAACTCTTCCATTTAATTTTCGTGCATTTTAAAATGTCATATTGGTTAGGCCTACTAGATCTAAATTTTAATCCCATAGAAACTATCAATCTAGAGTAGTTAACATTAATTTTAAATAAAGATGTTCAATTTTACTTTAGGGTTCCAAAGGAATCCCTTACCATGTTAAATTATCAGTACTTTGTATTTGTAAGTGTCAGCACAACATGGATAGTTTTGGCAACTAGAAAATACTTTAAAAACAAAACAATAGGAGTAACAATAAGATGGAGGACGAAGCGCCTGTGATTTATGGTTTAGAATTTCAGGTAGATCTAGATTCTAGATATCTAGGTTATTGAATAACTTAATAAAAACCCAGATGAATCAAAGAATGAGGTCACTTAAATTTTACATGTCTTAGGATATTACTTGAATAAATTGTATTGAATCTAGACTAGATCTAGACTAGATTCTAGATCTGTCTCTAGATTCTAGATTCTAGATTCTCTAGATGCTAGAGCTAGTTCTGAGTTCAAAATTGTATGTGTAACAAAAAAAAAAAAAAACTCAACTTCCAACAACTCAGACAACTCAAGCTCATCAAACTGTGATTGTAAATTTTTACAGCTACACTAATAATAGTAAATACTACTGGAGAACTAGAATCCAGAGCTTACTACTTACTATTTTATATGTCATCATATGAACTGGAGGTAAACGTGAAGGTGAAGCGGGGAATAAAATACGCTAAAATGGAGTTTTACCCTAGGTAGAGCCTATGGCCTATCAACTATCATTGTCAAGAAAATTCTGAATCCCCTCCCCCCCCCCCCCCCCAAGTCAATCATATATTAAAATATTTATCATACCCTGGTTCAATATTAAATGAATACACACATTAATAAGCATGTGATCATGAGTGATACTTTTTGAACTTTGATAATTATAGTAGACGAGCCGGCCTGCGGCATAACATACGCCGCTATTTAGTTGTTTTTTCTACTTTTCAGTAATTCATAATTTGTGAATTCGACAGTACCAACGCTGACACTGAAAATATTTCTTTAAAACACTATAAGTAGCTCGTTAAGGACCATAACCCCCCTCCTTCCCCCCCCCCCCCAACGTTTAAAATAGTTTCAAACTAAATTATCTGCCCCTAATAGCCGTCACTAAACCAGACTCCACTAAGGTAAACATAGCGTGAACCACAGCTCACTAAGACCATGTAGGGGTGGGGGTGGTAGGGAGCGCGTTTACAGCTTGTTTTCTAGTGTCTCCCAGAAGAGAATTATATATATAGATTCTTAGTAATTCATCTACATTCTACATGTTTTATCTAGAACAGTGAACTATTATTTGATATATATAATTACATAGATCTAAGCCTATTATTTGATTTTTAAAGTGTTTTGTTCTAGCTGCCCATTGTTTTCAAAACTATACACAATCATTACAGGCACGGTCACTTTGTGCGCAAGAAGCTGAAACAGATAATATTCGCTTCCTAGTTGGAACTCAATCACTGAGAGCAGAAAATCAAGTTAGTTTTTATACAAATAAATTTAAACTAGTCGGTCAGTTTTTTAAATTAAAACCCTGTAGAAAATTTAGGAAGAAGTAAACAGATCACTTAATCTCTTTAATACTGACAATCGCTCAATGTATTAATGTTAGTTGTACTTCACAAACATTTTATTTTGAAAAGATTTTGATTATAATAGTTTTTTTCTTCAATTTATTTTCTTAATTAGTTAATTTATCAAAGTTTTGTATTGTGCTAGAAAAACAAAGACTATTGTGTTATTCTTATTCTAATTTTACAGAAAAAAAACCCCACACCTTTTCAATTTTTATTTCCATAATTAATTTTCTTAATTTAAAATTTCAGGTCCATTATATTGACTTTGATGATGAAAATAATGTGATAAATAAAACTATATTTCTACATAGAGAAGGAGAGATTTGGAATATAAGCTCTTCCACATTTGATGCTGGTCTCTTCTCTACCTGTTTTAATAAAAGTAATTTTAAATCCATTGTAATTGTTAATGATATTTCACTGTACAGTGGTAATATATAGGTTACTCTATACTTTATTTCAGTTTCATCACAAAACATGAAAGAAATAATTTAGTAATAACTAAATCAATATGTTAATTGTACTTACAGCGTCAGACACAAAATCAGAGCTAAAAGCAGCAGTGTGGCAAATCCCTAGCAATGCTGATCCATTTAACCCAGCGTCAGATGATTCTTCCAATTCTCACCCTCATCTCCAGCTCAAGTGTTACTTGTCACCAGATGAACACAGTGATGTTAAAAGGTATCCATTTTTTCATTTCCTCTGTCAAATTCAGATTTTGCTTTAAGCTCTGGATTCAGGTTATATTGTCAAATTGAGATCCAATGTTTCAATTGTTGGATTAAGGCTATTTTGTCATATTGAAATCCAAAAGATTCAAGTCATATTGTTTTTATTAATTGCAGTGTCCTATGGCAGCCTGCTGGAGACAGCCATTCTGTTATTGGCTTGTGTGAGGATAAAATTGTGTGCTGGGACTTAGATGTAGCTTCCTCCACAGCTAAAGTAAGCTCACATTACTTTATTTCCTCTTGTACTTCACAAGTATAAAAATTAAATTATAGTGATACTAATATTTAATAACTATATTCATTTTAGTTTAAGTCTGATAATTTAACTTTTAATTTCAAATGCCCATTGCCTTTTTTTCCATCCGACATTTCACATTCTTCCCTGAATTGTTTAATTGTTACACATTTGCACACCCATTGAAGCTTCACGTAGTTATATGGTCTAACATCAAACCCACCAGTGGCTTACAATAATGGCATAACTGTGTTGTTTTTGTTTGTCTAGATGACTAGCTCCACCAGCATTGAGGGAAGGTGCCAACATAAACTAACATCTGGGAGGTGGAACCCCCACCACAACTGCAATCAAATAGCCACTGCTAACGAGACCTCAATCAGAGGCTGGGATCTAAGAACAATGAGGTGAATACAAAACTTGATGTCCAGGGGCATGGTCTGCCTGGATTGTTTGTCAAGTTGGTGTGAGTAACACCCCTGGAGTTACTAAACTGCAACTTAGTATCGAGGAAGAATATTAAATAGCCACATTAAATTCAACTACATAATTTGCGGTGGTTTTTGTATTTTCAGTACACTATGATAGTTATGTTGTCATAAAGTGTTGTACATTCCCATGTTTTATTTACCAGCCAAGTGTATCACATAGAGTCTGCCCATGGTCAGCTAGTGAGGGACTTAGACTTCAACCCCAACAAACAGTACTACCTTGTCTCCTGTGGAGATGACTGCCGCGTCAAGTTCTGGGACACAAGAAAAGTTTCTGAGCCACTGAAAATACTTTCTGAACATTCACACTGGCAAGTTACTATTATTCAGCATTCTGATGCTGCTTGTTTTCATTGTGTTAAAGTATTTGCTGATTTTATATGATTGATATACTAAAGTTTAAATGTTGTTAAAAAGTAATTTATTAAAATAAGAAAAAAGTTTGTTTACATAAAAAATTTATTTGAATGATTTTGATGTTCTCAAAGTTAATTCATGTATTTTAAAATTTTTATTTTGAACTCTAGTTTGCCTAACCTTGCATTTAACAAATAGTTAGGTCATTCAGTTTTTTTTAAACACTATAGGGCTTGGTCAGTTCGCTACAACCACTTCCATGATCAGCTAGTCTTGACCTCCAGCAGTGACAGTCGGGTCATCTTAAACAGCGTGGTGTCCTTGTCATCTGAACCTTATGGTCACTTGGTAGAGAAGGATGATGAGGCTGACACAGACAGCTTGCACGAAGGGTGACTATTTTCAGTTTCATTCTGCCATTATTAGGTATAAAATGAGATTTTAAAATTTATGGAGGATGGAAGCAAGGTTGTTTTTGTTATTGTTTTTTTTTTTTTTTTTTTTTTTTTTGCAAGTATTGTTAGCCTAAACCCTGACCTGATGTAATTCCTGATTCTTAACATAAAAACTTAAACTGTGTGTGAGATATAGTTATTTACATAAAAGAATTAAATACGAAATTGTTAGATTTCATCATAATGCTATTTTATTCTAAAATTATATCTTAAAGTGAAAATCAATTAAAGTTTTATTCTGATTTGTAATTATCTGATTTTTTGATCAGACATGAAGATCCACCAAAAGATGGAGTAATAGCCACATATGAAGAGCATGAAGATAGTGTGTATGCAGTAGACTGGTCAAGTGCTGATCCCTGGACGTTTGCTTCCCTCAGCTATGATGGACGTCTAGTCATCAACCGAGTCCCACGCTCAGAAAAATACAAAATACTTTTGTGATATTTTCCCCTTAACTTTACAGACTATTTAAGTTATTGATTTTGACATTAAAAATGATGTAATTGATATTCATTCTATGGCTTCCCTTGAAATTTGGAAGATGAAAACGACTGGTTGAAAAAACTTATTGAACAAGCAGTAGGGATTTTTTATCTAAAGTTATTTCCTTGGTGGTCAACCTAATTAAGTTACCAAATTAAATCTCATTTATGTAATGGCATTCCAGATTACATTTATGTAATTGCTGTTTACACGTGCAATAGTGGACATTGCTTCATTTGTTTCAGGTATATTAAACAGCCAATATTTGTTGATAAATTGTCATTTATTTTCATCTTTGAGCGTTATTATAAAATGAATGCAAGTGTTAATTATGTTTCAAATGTTTTTTTTTTAAATAATTTCTTAATGTTTTACCCAGTCAAGACTGTTTTTTTACAACTATCTTTAAAAAGAAAAAGGAAAAACAACAGATAATGAAAAGGCTGCAGGAATGATTTTAATTTGGACAAGCCAAGGAGGTGAAGGGTAGGGTGGTATCGCACACCAAAAATAGAAAAGAATGGTTAAAAAGTTTAAATTATACAACAATTTCTTGAAAATTAACATGCAAGAATTTTAATACAATATGCAGTTTCTTTATACAGTAAATTTAAATATACATATATATATATATATATAATTAATTATGTTTTATGTAGCAGTACATATATTAAAAGGGTTGACAACAAAACAAATGTATTTACCAGAAACCATAAGTGATTTTTATGAGAAAATATTGTATAGTGGCAAAAATACCTGAATTTGTGAGCAGAATATAGAGTTGTCTTTGCTAAAATACTTGTCATAACTATTCCCTACAAATTGTTTCTAAAAATAGCTTAATCTTCACATTTAATATAATAAAAAATATTCGGCCTACTATTTATTAAAATTATACTTTGAACACTTATTTTCACACAAAAATCTTCTCTATACTAAATAATATAGTAAAATTTTTGTAAATCAACTGAATGGCCATGGGATTTCTCAGTTAATTTAGTAATTAATAATAATAAACTAGTTTACTAATTTGCCATGGGAGGAAAATTAACATGTGCAGCATTACCAATTATTTATAGCTGAGTTAAAAGTTTCAAGTAAAATAGTTTTACTGAAATCTTTGTGTATAGGTTCTTTTTTCAATGTTTTTTTAGAATACACAGAATTAAAAAAAAAAAAATAACACTTACATAAAAATTAGAATTGTTTGAAACAGTGCCCCAAAAATATTTGATCACTACACTGTATAAAGCACTGATGTAGTATTCCAGGCACTGCTTTAGAGACACTCCAAGTGACAAAACACAACTGAAATTGTATGATGTAAAATCTTCCATTTTGACTCTAATATTAAGATGATATATTTTGATTTATCAAAGGAACAATAATAGTAGCGGGTTAAAAGGAAACAGAATTAATAAAGCATTTGTAGGGTAGGTGATGAATATTGCATTTTACATAATTTTAAGGATTATAACGCCATTATAGTTGTACTAATATGTTTAGAATTCTTTATTTAAATACTGGAAAGGTCTATTAATCCTCAAGGTATTAATGAGGTTTATTCGTAATTATATCTTTAAGTTGTCATAATACTTCACACATTATAGTTTAGGCTTATCTAATATTTATAAAAGATGAATTAGATCTTTAAGAAATTAAAATTTTAGTTGGATGAAAATTAATTAAGTACAAAAAATATGTGTCAGGATTTTAATATTGTCTAAGCTAAATCAAAGTCGAGGTTAATTTCAGACTAATCCTTCAGCAATTACGTTTGAGAGAGGGTTATCTCTCTTTTGGTTGGACTAATCATTGAGTTATCTCTCTTTGTAATCACTGTCAGTCTATAATATTTTAATATCGGTAAAAAAAAATAGTAGATATTTCGGAGATAAACGTGCAAAATAGTTTCAGTCATTTGCATAGGAAAACTTAAAAATTGTATTCCTTTTGAAACATATTGGTTTATAACTAAATACAAACATGATCTGAATTCAAAATTATAATAACATTAAAAACAAAAAAAAACATAGTCAACAAATTTATAGGCCTATATAAATATATGTTGCCTAACAATAAAAATAGGCCTACTATTCGTAAATTAAAATCCATCTTTCGTTGTTCAAGCCTAGATCTATAATTTTATATACACCTAGTTGTGCTATATACGTTTTGAAATGTTATTTCATTTAAATTTTCTATTCTTTTCGCAATAATACTTTTTCTATAAAATTAAACCATTGTAGCAACATTCTAAATAAAACAAACACTCCCATTTCGGTTTTAATTAAAAGAAACAAACAATTCAGATTTATTTTTTAAAAATAAAATTAAGATTGATAATTGGATTTCATTTTTACTTTTAATTTAATTATAATAAAAAAAAACACGCATATTTTTTTATTATAAACACTAAATCGCCTGCCAAGGAATCGCCCTCTCACGCCGAGACTTTCGTTTTCTCTGCATTTTAGAATATTTTGTTTTGTTTCGTTAGATTTATGTATAAATTCAAAAAATAAAAATTAGGTTTAGTTTTCGTTTGTGCAATCATTCTCTCATTTTTAAGTGGGGGCGGATTTGCGAATGCTACTCCTGCTGGCTTCAATATAAAAAAAAAATCTTTGGTAATAATGTTTATGTAAATTGCGAAATCTTAAATTGCTGCCAACGTCTGTTTCATCAGAGACCGCTCTCCATCCCCACCCCCTACGCCCATCCGCATACCCCCACCCCATCGACAGGCGTGATATGTCAACTGGAAAACAATACTCCTTTATGAAACCATAAGCCATTGTATTCTCTCAAAGTCATTTGTTATTTTCTTTTTCGTTTTTATTAAGAGCACATAGCCCTATCGATTTTAATAGCTATGAGTTTATAACTTTCCGATTTCATAATTCTATGGAACACCGTTTAGTAATATATCTATAAAATTTCGGTTATAAGCTCACCGAATGAAACGTCTAAATAAAGAACTGTTGTGACTACACTAGTGCCATTACGAAGGGGCGGGGTCGGAGTGCTTACGTCACAAGGTTAAGCTGGGTTTACACGACTACTAACTAAACTAGCTAGGGTTTCAGTAAGGTAAAAATCTTAGGGTTTCTTTATATAGGACGTTATACACATACCTGCGATTGTTTGTATGTGTGTGTGTGGGGGGGGGGGGGTGAGGGATAGACATATGACGATATCCTACCTTCAGGATGGTAGAACTTAGAATTGTAACGAGTATATTTTTGTCTTTTTTTTTAAAGATTGGTTTTTTTTTACAACAGAAGTTGGGCATACACCTTGGTAAACTCTATCGGTGTAGAATGTTTGAGTTTGTGTGTGTGTGTGTGTGGGGGGGGGGGGTGTCTGACAATGTGTGCGATAGGAAACGTATTGTCATCATTCATAGACCCCTCAAATCCAAAGATCTTTGAAGGCCTAGCTTCACGCTATTGACTCAAACCATTTCCTTAAACTATATCTAACCTCCACGTGAATGACTCTAACCATTTCCTTCAACTATATCTAACCTCCACGTGAATGGCTCTAACCCTCTACTTAAACTAAATCTAACCTCCGAGTTAAATTTTCCACATTTGCCGTGCCTTCGTTTCTCCCACCAAGAGCTTAACCTTTGTTTTATATTATTGCAGATTCAATCAATACCCCATTACATTTTAAATGTGCTAACCTGAAAGACACTTTCTCTTTGAGAAAACAAAACTCTTTGTAGAACAATACATTTGATTTTTTTATCATAGAATAATATATCGATGAGAATCTTGCCAACAAAAACAGAAAATCAATCGTTCGAGAGTTGACTTTTTTTTCTACAAATAAATGAAATGAGTGCGTCCGCGTGAAATCAACACATAAGTGCGTTTTGTGCAGTAAAATATAACAGGGTTTAGCATTTGGTTAGGGGTACATACATTTCTTTAACATATATGTTACAATCTAAAAAAAATTGAAACATACATACATTTATTATATAATATAAAATAATTTTTGTTATAATAGAACTCTTCAACATTTGAAGAACATGTAACAACGATGCATTTTTGGTTTGAGAAACAAGGTGTATATGAATCGTCTTTGATTTACAAGTTTATACCTTTGTAATAATATACATATATTCTCTTATACATATATTTTATAATACATAAGTTTTTAAATTCAATAAATTCAATTAACCTTTATTTAACTCAGTATTTAATTATATGAATATGCAAACACATAAAGGGTGGAAAAAGAACATAAACAATATACTATATACATATATTATTTTCCCGTTCGTGCCCAAGAATCAAGACACATGGGGCTGATAAAGTAGAGTTCTTCTGTTTCAATGACCTCGGCATACAGGGTGATAGTGTGGTCAGCACTATGCATAGCCGCCTTTATTTCCATTAAGTGAATCATGTACCCATCAGAGCTGGGTGGATATATGTAGCCTTTTACATGCTAATCTCTTGTTCCTAAACCCTTACATTTTTCGCTTTCAGTTCTGCGGTGTCAATTGTTATGGGCCCGCACACTAGCGTTATATCAGTTCTCTAATGAACAAATAATGAATTGAAGACATTATGTTTACTTCTGACATGAACAATTTAAAGCAACAATGGCAATAAGTGAATACAATATATTTGGATAGGCCTATTGTAGTATACTTAAATATTGATACGGTTTTATATGCAAGAAATCGTTTTTTAACAGTGGATATACTTAGGCAAAGTACGAGGTAAAGGTTAAACAATGAGCACTGTCGAGCAAATATAAAGTAGGAATAAAATAACAAGATGTTGAGGATACTAACATATGGCTAGACTTGTGCACGCTGGTACTGTGTTGGCCAAATACTGGTACATAAGTCATTTTGTTGGCCAATTACTGGTACAACTGGCACTATGTTGGCCAAGTACTGGTACAGCTGGCACTATGTTGGCCAAGTACTGGAACATCAGCCATTGTGTTGGCCTAGTACTGGTACATCTGGCACTGTGTTGGCCAAATATCAGTACGGCTGGTACACCTACCATCACAGAGAGCTCTTCTGTGTGAAGTCACGAAAGAAGAAACACAAAGGAGGTAGCCACGATTGACTATCACGTACACCGGGATGGTTTTATGTAGTAATACTTGACACAGCGGGGAGAAACAAAACAATGTCACAATCTTTGTGACAGAAAGGTGACTGGTCGAGTTATTTTATCACAGTTGTAGTGACTGGTTAAATTATTTTATGACACAGGATTGACTAGGCATGAAATTTTGAGACCGGATAGTGACTTCCTCTAATTAAGTTGATAGGTCCTATGACCTGTCCATTTTCTTTACAAGATACCTGTGTTTGTTTAAGATCAAAGACCACTTTATAAAGATGCAAGAAAAGATTTTTCCTATTTCATCTGATTTGTGGAAGCTAAAAAACATTATATTGTAATGTTTAAAAGAAATTAACCTCATACAATTTAAAAAAGATAACTAGCTTCAGTGATTAAAAAAAATACTTTTGTAAATTTAAAAAGCAGGAAAACAAGAAAATATGTTGTTTGTTTGTTAACAAGATTATGGTTTGAATTAACAGTTGTATTGATTTTTTCCTCCGCTGTTTCACAATGTCTCGCTCAGTAGTAGCTTAAAAACTATACGTGGGAAACATGGTATAATACAGTTTAGACTTTTAACAAAATAAACAATGGTAGGCATTAAAATTTCAACATAGACATTAACGTGTTTTGAAATAACATTTGAATAGTCTGACGATATCCAGCCTAGAGTAGAAGTTGGTTAATGTACAGAGGTCTCGTGGTTCTCGTCCCCTGGGAGTTTGATGATTGGAATGGACCTGTCATGAATCGTCACGTTATGAAACTGCCGCTGCACGAAGCTGACCGGCGACCGGCCGCCGGCGTTCGACCAGGCAGAGAGTCTTTTGGGGTGCAGCATCTCTTCGGCTGCCTCGTCCTCTTCCTCCTCGATGCTGTCCTGCGGCGAGATCCGCCGAGCCGAACTCGCGCTGCTGTCACTTCCTAAACTGGCACTGCGCATGCTCGGCGCAAGTCGGTCCCGTCGGCTAGTTCTGTCTTCGTTGAGCAGCGCCGGCTCCGTGTGTTTCCGTTGTAAGCGATGTCGATGCATTCTCGGCGACCTTCGTATCCCGAGTCTGCAGTTTCCCGTTGCCTCGCGCCCGGGCGGGGGAAGTTCTTGGCGAACAAATTCGTTAAAAATTGAGTTCGTTTTCTCGTCGATGCTATAATCTCTCGCGAGATATTGCGTTCGGTGCCCACGAGGGTGGGACTTGAAAAAACGAGCAAAGACTGAAATTTTATTCGGTATTGAGCTATCTTCAAAGCTGTCGCCGGAATGTAAACCCGAATGCGAATCTGTTTCGGGTTCGTTTATACTCTCGTAAACCTGAACAGTTTGTCTCTCTCGTGAGTATTCCCTGCGTTTCTTTGACGCAGTTTTTCCGTTTCTTCTATCAAAGTAAGACGGCGTGGGCGGGGATTTTCTTAGGCTTTCGCTTCTTTGGTTTAAAACATGTCCGCTGTTGCGTCGGTCTCTTTGAAACGTGACATGGGTGTCGACACCCGACACGGTCACGCCGCTGTTACCGCACGCCTGACATATCCCCTCCAAGCGCTCGACTTCAGCTTTGCTGCTTCTCCGGATAGCGAACCCCACGACGCCGTCAACGCTGGCTTTGCTGTCTCGCCGGGAGGAGATTCCCTCGCAGCAGTCGATGCTGACTCTCGTGTCCCACTTGGCGGTCTCGTGTTCAACGAGCTCCCTCGAGTTCTGTTGCTGAGTCTCCAGCGACTTGTACCCGCTGTCCGCTTTCATCTGTCTCAGCTTGCTGGCCTGACTCTCCGTGGTGCTGTCCGTGTTCTCGGTTGTTGTCGTCGTGGAAGATTCAAAAGAGGTTGTGGTCACCTCGTAGCGGGATGTGTCCGACACCTCCCCGTCGGTTTCTACGCTGTCGAAGCTGTTCTCCACGCTGGTGGACTGGTTTCCCCTCTGGAAACGGTTGTTGAGGACGTTGCGGTAGTTCTGGCGTCGGTTCTCGTAGTTGGGGTGTAGGAAGTTCACCTGGTTCGCCAGCCGGGCAGACGGCGAGCTCTCGAATTGTATGCCGCTGTCCCGGTGGTCGCTGGGGCAGGGGTCGCTCTGGGCGTTCGATTCGAAGGAGGTCGTGTTGGGCGTCACGTGCTCCCTGTCTGGCGAGTCGTCAGGTGACGTCATATCCTCCATCCTGATCGTGTCGCTGCATTCTTCTTCCTCCTCGAGTGTAGCCCGGAGACGCCATAGTGCTCTGTACTTCCGGTTTCCGTTGATCGTCTCCACGCTATCCTCCGTGTCCTCCGAATGTTCTGGATCTTTCTTATCTGCCCCTATAGGCAGGCTCTCTGCTCCCAGCTCTCCCCCAAACTCCCCATCGTTGAGTTGCTCAAGACTTCCGGTGTCGTTGTATCTGACCTTTGACCCGGAAGGCGAACCCAGCTCAGCTATGATATCGTAATCGGAGTTGTAAAACGGGCCTTTGGAAAATTCCGTTATTTTAAGAACGTCGTAGTCTTCGACGAAATCGTCGTGGCTTCTGACTTTTCTGTTGTTGCGGTACGACACTTGTTTTGATGGCGTGGCCGATTCTAAACTATGCGAATACACTGTTTTATGGTGGGATTTGATCCGGGACGCTCCGCTGCTTTTTACCGTCGTGAACAAATCGGAGGTGGGTCGGGCTCGCACCAGGCGACCCAGGAGAAGATGATGTTGTTCTTCTGAGCTGTTGCCGCTGTGGCTGCCGCCGTCACTGGCCGCGGCGTGGTGTTGGTGGTGGACCTCCACGGAGACTTGCGTCCGCACGGGCTTGTATGGGGGCGACGGGGAGCTTCTCATGGCGCCCTCGGTTATAGTTATAGGCCTAAACGGAGAAGGTGGGGAGCTTTTGGCGCCGGCGTCGCGTAGCAACAAGGGCGAAGAACTCGAAGGGCTTTCGTGGATTGGTCTGAAAGGCGGTGAAGGCGAGTTTTTGTTACTGCTGTCTTTGACTAACGCGAAGGTCGGCGACGGAGAGTTTTTTAGACCTCTAGGAGGTCTGTACGTTGGAGACGGGCAGTCTCGGTTTGGTTTGAGCTGATCGAGAGAAAGCAGCGAATCGTGCGCTGGTTTTGAAGCACTTTCTCTATCTAGGCTCGTCCTTCTGGGATCCCTGTGAGCTGGTTGAGCCGGCTGCTGGGGGGCCGTGGGGTGAAGGTCTTTGATGGCTCGTAGTGTCTCGTGCGCCGTGGTAGTGAGGCTCGTCAGTCGCTCGTCCAGGGAGGAGAACCGGAAGTGGGGGTCGTCGAGTAGAATGCGACCTGGGATGGCGGAGCCGGCCCCTCCCATGGATAATTGGCGGGGTAACGGGCGACCAATCTTGGAGTGCTTCAGATGATGAAAGTCGCCTTCAATGTACCTATAGGGGAGATAACAAATGCGTTACACAAAGACTAATACACTTATAGCATGGGATTGAAATTGAATAACAGTAACAAAAAAAATATAGTATAGTACTTTTACTTTTACATTTAGTTTATATTAAAAAATATAATTAATATATTTTAATATATCAAAAGAAAATTTAAAAGATAATTTTTTCGGTTTTTTACACTTTTCTTTGAAATATAAGATAGTAAGTAAAAATGTTGACGCGTTAATTATATTTTAGTGTTGTAAAAATATGAAAACAGTCTCGACAAATGTACGAAGACTGGGACTTATTGGTTAGCATTACAAGACTAGATCAAGCACGTAAAACAGAGAGAGAGGGGAGACAGGGGTGTGCTTAGATAGGGGTGTAAGCAAGAGGTATGTGGCGGTGGGCGTGACTAGGAGGGGAGTATTTGAGGCAGGTGGGGGTAAGGGGAGGATTGCGAGGGGGAGGTGTGGATGTGTGGTTGTGTGTGGACGTGTGTGTGTGGATATGTGGAGTTGTGTGTTGACTAATTGAACTTCTTCAATGCCAATGGTTTTAATGCGGTAGAAAAATACATTTGAACTACCTGTGAGTGCCTACAACAAGATCAACAACTGTGTTCTTAAACATTCAGAAAGATAGTCACGCTGAATGATCTCCACTGTCTCTTCATTTTATTAAACTTTAAAAAAAAATTAAATAAGTAATTCAATATTCGAATGTCAGTTACACGCTAAATTAGATTGTGTAGTTTTTTTTTTCGACTGATTGGACTATCTTCTGGTAAATCAATATGGCAGGATAGATATGACATTACATATGACATGGTAAATGACAATATTGATGACAGGAAAGATGGAATTATAAATGATAGGATATACATGAGAGAGCATGCTAAAGGACAAGATGAATGCCATAGACACTAGATGAAAATATAGATGACATGATATAGGACAGACAGATGAAAGGATAGATGTCAGTAGATGGCAGACACTACAGTTGACAATTAAAATGATACAATACATGAACACATGAGAGATGACATAACAGATGACAATGTAGATGACAGGATGGATGTGATATGCTAGATTATTATATAGACACAATAGATGGCAATAGATGACAGGATAGATGACATTACTTATGACAATGTAGATGACATAATATGACAGTTAGATGACACGATCCATGCCACGGCTGATTATATTTTCAATCGGAAAAATCACCCAATCGATTTCAAACTTTAATTAAACTGTAAACAACAGCGTGAGGAGAAATCGATGGACTTAATGAATGAAACACAACCGTCCCCTAGCCTCGTCAGGGGTGGGGGGGGGGGTGGGTTAGAATATGACGTCAGCCATGAACAGTAACTGGGGTACACATGATGATAAAAAAAAATTAAAATTAGTAAATTATAATAAAACAAAAGATACCATAGTTATGTTTAAAAAATTCTCATGTACTAAGACTTAAAAAAAATTAAAATTTTAAATTAAGCCAGTATTAAAAAAAGAATCGATTTCCTTATTTTTTGTCATTAAAAAATCAAATTAAGTACGTCGGCACCGAAAAGTTTATCCACTTCAAGCTTACTTTTCAGCAAGTGTTATGAGAACATTTCTCCTGTATTTTTTTTACGTAACTAAATGATAAACTTAAAGCATTATTTATTCCTATCCTTTAACATTATTTTTAAGAGCTGCGTTAACATTTAGAAAACAGAATTCTGACAGTCATTAGCATAAGCGTCTTGACGTCACGGTCGTGAGGCACACTGCGCGTGTCTTGGAGATGCATGACGTCACGGGACGAACCCAGAGCGTGACGTCATCAGATGGGCCACAGGCTAAAAAAACAAAGGCATTGTTGTGGAAACAAGGGCAACTTGACAAAATGGGTTAATTCCCCTGAACTTCGGCCTGAGATTATTGAATCTCCCCAAGACGCCATCTTGTCCATTTCCAGGTAACCAGATCAACGCCACCGCCCCTCCCCTCCTCCCCCCCCCCTACATTAAGTGACCCAGCAACAAAATCAGCCATGTTAAATCAAGGGAGGTCAGGCAAAAAAACATTCATCTTCCAGCAGACGAATTCCCGTTCCTTCCTGTATGTCGGTTTTTAGATTTGTCACGAAGACAACTCGTCATCTTGGGTTGTCATTGACTAGTCTAGATCTAGAAGAGAATAATTAACTTCGGCAGACCACAGAAACTATTTTTCATTTTAGTATTTACAGAAATATTTTTAGAATTATTAAAAAATTTGTAAATGGGAAAGATGAAACGAAACGAACTATTGTTAACGTGAGAAGTGTAAAACTTCCAGTGAACAAAGAGTGTCAAATGTATCTGACACGTTTACACATTGAAACATTGGTCAATGGTCAATCGGTTCGGATATTGCGTAGGTTGGTGATCGATAAACAGATCGAACACATCAATCAATAGAAGCCATGTGGGCGTTGGGACTGCACGGTCAGGGATTAGCGTCTTGACGGCCAAAGCCGTTGTATTGCTGGTGAGTTTTAGGGATTAGCATCTAGACGGCCGAAACCGTTGAATTGCTGGTGGGTTTAGGGATTAGCATCTAGACGGCCAAAGCCTTTGTACTGCTGGAGAGTTCTGAAATTGGTATATTTTCCGCTTCACACCCGGGATGGCTAGTTGTTGTTAAACATTAAGAATCAGTACTGATCAATTTTCAAGTCGAGACTACGTGTATAATTTCTTAGGGCTCGTCCATTAATGACATCAATATAATCGATTTTTTAACCCAATATTGTCACACGTGGCTATACAAATTCAAATCTTCACCCCACCCCTTTTAAAATGAAGTCTAAATGTACCATCCTCGCCTAAAAATAACTTTAACACTAAGATAACTAGTACGTTTTGAATAAGTGTTAGTTTTGAGAAATGTAAAGTTGAAACGCTGTATCATTATATCACCTGTATACCCACCTCCCCATCCCCTTACCTAATTAGCATATCGTCAAAAAAAGTCTGAACGCCATCTCTACAATATATATGACGAGAATAAAAAAGAAAAATACAGATAGAAAACTTAAAAGAAATGAATCATAGAAACATTTTTAAATCCAACCTAAAAACTCACTGAACTGCAATTTAGCGGAACATTTAATTTATGGAGAAAATAAAATTCTTATCAAGCCATGAAACGTATCGGGGATTAACGAGATAATACACGTTGAACCCGGATAATCCCCATGTGATACACACAGACTGTGATCTAGCTGTGATTTGTGCAACCATTCTCCATTTTCTTAAAGTATTCTTAAAGAAAAATCTCAAAAACCAAGACACTTCGGCGACGCAATCATCAAGAAAAAAAAAGTATCAAGCTCAAAACTTCTGTTAGAACTAGCCATCAATATGAGATGGTTTTAGCGGAAGAGAAAATCTTCCACAAAACAAATCATACATTAAAAAAACAAGATTGCAAAGCTATGTTTTTTCGACTTATGGAAGTGTAAAACGTCGAGATTTGCAAAAATCTCTTTTTTTTTGTACGATTAATATACTTTCTCTATACTTCGTATACACGAGGAAGTAAAAAATGATTATAAAAAAAACTTGTCAGACTCACCTACGTGAAGTAGGCCTAAAACTCCTGGCACATTACAACATGCTAGACACTAAAAGCACCGACCAAGGCACCACAGATAGGCTTTAAGCCGAGCAAGACAAAATTAAAACAGCGAAGGAAAAAAAAATCTTTATTTCTAATACACTGCGTCAGCTTTCACAAAAGAATTCATGATTTAATCATACACGATACAGTGCTGCTATAAATACGCACCCACACTTTAACTCCCCCCCTCCCCACAGTTTAACCCCCCCCCCCCCTCCCCGTTCGTGTAACAATATAGGAATATTGAGACGGAAATAGCCACACCAGTGGGTGTTGTCGTGTATGTAATACTTAATTTTTTTATACGCCAGTTCCCGCCCATCACAGCTCTGTTGCCATGGTGACGTCATCCTACGCCATTTTGCCAGGGAAAAAAAATAAAATTAATGAAAAATGTAATTTAAGAGCGGCAGCCGCGTATGAAAATATCGATGGCAAAAGTTTAAGGGTTGGACATGAAATCCGACCAACGGTTGAGATACGCGCATGCGTAAAAAATCTCCATAGCTTTAATCTTTATGTCACAAACAAGCATATTCCAGCTTGCAATATTTATATATGTAGAGATAAAAAATAATGAAATAATGTACACATTTTTATATATGGTGGGCCTATATATATATATATATATATATATATATATATATATATATATATATATATATATATATATATATATATATATATATATATATATATTACAAAAGATGCTTATTTCTTTAAAATCAAATTTTGATTTTCACTGATTATAACCATTAAATCTATTTTATTAGACTATCTCTAGACTTAAAAATTCTAAAGTAGCCTCTTTTAGTAATTCCTCTTTGTTGTGATTAAAACACTTTTAAAAATGGGACTAAAATAACTATTCACTCTTAACACACACACTTATAATAATAATCAAAAGTTGCGTAACGCTAGAAATCAACCCCCACATTGCAAAATGCGCGGGAAAAAAATCGATTTTAATTGAAAGAAATCGAATCTCATTTTTTGATTGCTTAGATAATTTAGAACTAAAATGGATGCAAAGAATTCATTCGAGGCAAATAAAAAAAAATGAAGAATGGACAAGGGAGAGGGAAAAATTGATGGCAATAAATCTTCGTGGCTCTTTCAGAGAAGGTCGCTCAGACAAAGACACATACAGCGGAAGCCTGGCCCGGTGCTGGCCATCTGTCACGCCGCTGGCCATCTGTCACGCCGCTGGCCATCTGTCACGCCGCTGGCTATCTGTCACGCCGCTGGCCATCTGTCACGCCGCTGGCTATCTGTCACGCCGGTAGCCAGTCTGTCACACTCGTGGCAATACGTCACACCCAGGGCCCGAGGGCGGCGTAAGGATTTCATAAGAGAAGAAACCAAACAGATACCGGTAAGGTGATTGGCTGTTGGAATCACGTGACCTCACGACATGCCCCAGCTGATTGGCTGTGTTTCCGGCACGTTGAACATGACGTATCAGATGAGACGTTTCATAACTTATTTCGAAATATTTCCATTAAAGGCGAAACATTTTTTTTTCTCGACAAGTTTCAAGAGTTAATCCTATGTGAGTCAGGCAGAGGCGTAGCGAGGGGGGGGGGGGGGGCGGGAGGGGGGTGCGGATCGCACCGGGTGACACCATTTAGGGGGGTGACACCAAGGCAAAAAATAGCAAAATATATAGAGAAAAATGATAGTGTTTTAAGAGGTGCAAATCGAAAGTTTGAGGGAGGTGGGGGTGTAAATCGAAAGTTTGATGAAGGGGGGGGGGGGGGGATGCAAATCGAAAATTGATTGAAAGATTGTCCCCGGGAAGTGTCGCTACGCCTCTGGGGGGCGACACCACTAAGTGCCGCACCGGGTGACACCCGACCTCGCTACGCCACTGGAGTCAGGGATATAGGTATGCTTGGGTTGGACAGAGACACTGCACGTTGAGATAGAAAACTAAAGTTCCGTCTGACGTTCTGATTTAAATGATCATTGTTTTCTGTTCGTTGATCGTGTGGTTTTAGTATCGCATAATAACGAGCTTCGTGAGAGGGAATAAACAGCCTCCTACCCACTCCCACACACAAACACTTCTGCAAACACACTCGCTCATACAAACACGTTTTTAAAATAACTAACACTTACACAAGGACAGGCATTCACAAGGTCACATGTACTCACACATCAACACACATGCACATACTCGCACAAACACATATACAACACAACTGTATAGACTGTGCAATACAACCTGTTGTCACATTCTCTCCAAGGAACTCAAAACGTAGCTATAAATAACATTATGCTCAACATTTTGAAAACAGGCGCTTATGCTTTGATTCTGTATGTACCAAACAACATAAAATTGATCTGTTTTCAAACTAGTTTGTGTGTATGTGTGCACGTGTGTGTGAGTGTGTGTGTGTACTTCTGTGTGTGTGTGTGTGTGTGTGTGTTTGCTGTCAGCCTAAAACAGCCCAACAGCCCATCACAACGGTGTACAAAACATCGAATTCCTGTTGGAAAACAGAACAGGAAAATAGTGTGCGAGGGGGCCAACACTAAAAAGGGAGAAAAGCTGTGGCGACATTTAGTTTCGTATTCCTCATTCGTATAAAGCTGCCAAGCCCAGGAAACAAACATACATACAGCTACACCGAGTGTTAGCAAAGGAGATTGGTAAAAAGAGATTGAAATTTTCCATGTTCAGAAAATAATACACATCTATAATGTTTTTTAATAAGTGTGTGGATTTTTTTTTTTAAGTAATAAGAATTTTCAATAAAAAAAATTATCGTTGAAAAAAATGTTTTTTTTTAGAAAAGATCTAAAATTTGTTTTGTATAAGATTTTATGTTTTTGGCTTCATGGAAAAAAGTACTTCTATTATAACTGGCAGGGCGTACAGGTGTTTTTTTTTAAAATTATAACCACTACCCTAACTTAAAACATAACCCTAATCCAAGCCCTAACCATTCCTCTGTGCCTGAAATTAACATTGGCTTAACTTATCCTTAAAGCTGTTTATCAGAAAAATAAACAACTATAAAAACATTCACAATAACAAGGTTTAAATTAACTGCAGTTAAGAACATAAAAATGTTTTCGTTTGTAATTTATGGTATAAATAAAATATTTGGTTAAGCAAGAAAATTTTTCAATACACTTGGCGACTAAAGCTTTAATATTTTGCCATTAAAGCTTTAAAATTAGCGAATCATTGTTAGTTAATTTAATAGCTTGTTATTGTAAAGGTTATTTATGGGTGTGTTCTTTTCTTCTTCTAGTATTTAGATATTTTTACGCAACAGCGGAGTCCTAAGTTAAAAAAAAAAAAAAAAAAAAAAAAAAAAAAAAAAAAAAACAAGTACTACCTTTATTTCTACCAGCCTAATGGTTCTTGAATCGACACCCCTCGTGACTAACTAAGTTTGCTGTACCTTCTATCGACTTTATGCCGCAAAAATTCCATGATGAATATCACTAGCTTTGTCAGTTTGTTAGTAAACATTCGGCGTGAACAACTGTTAACCTGACTATATTAGTCATCGTTAGTATTAAGTTATCTACCATTTAGTTCTTGAAAAAATATTCTTAAATATTTTATATTTAATTGATTAATTTAATATTTGAGAAAAAAAATGAAAAAAAAGAGATATTCTTGCATTGTCTTCGGGAATGCTATTATCTTGAGCGCTGCTTTAGAAATGTGTCAAAACTGAATTACAAGATTTGACCACAAACTAGCAGAGTTGCATCACACTTGACTTATGAAAAAGTTCCTAAACCCTAGAGTTCTAATCTGTATAGCCCTGCCACCAATGATAGAAGAACCAAGAAAAAAAAAATTAATCATGGAAACTAACATCAACCATCCTTTTAGAAATGGGAATAGAGTGGGCGTTGTTGGGGGGTTAGATCAAGGGGACAGAAATAAAGAAAACTATGAGGAACGGAAGTCGCCACTGAGAGCATGCGCATTGCAGCGCAAACCTTCGAACTTTGATATCCGCCGTGGAGCTGGATCGCGGGAGCACCTCCAGCTGGAAAGATACTCGCCTACTTGCCCCGCCTCCGTGGCCGCCATTTTGACCTCCTTTCGGCGCTGCGCTTCCGGTTCCTGCTGCTGCCATTTCCGTCTCTGTGTGGACCTGTGTGTAGGGGTCGTGACGGTCGGTGAAATCATCTGGAAAACATAGCATTAGAAGGGGGTTAGTTGTGTAGGGGTCGTGACGGTCGGTGAAATCATCTGGAAAACATAGCATTAGCTGGGGGTTAGTTGTGTAGGGGTCGTGACGGTCGGTGAAATCATCTGGAAAACATAGCATTAGCTGGGGGTTAGTTGTGTAGGGGTCGTGACGGTCGGTGAAATCATCTGGAAAACATAGCATTAGCTGGGGGTTAGTTGTGTAGGGGTCGTGACGGTCGGTGAAATCATCTGGAAAACATAGCATTAGCTAGGGGTTAGTTGTGTAGGGGTCGTGACGGTCTGTGAAATCATCTGGAAAACATAGCATTAGCTGGGGGTTAGTTGTGTAGGGGTCGTGACGGTCAGTGAAATCATCTGGAAAACATAGCATTAGCTGGGGGTTAGTTGTGTAGGGGTCGTGACGGTCAGTGAAATCATCTGGAAAACATAGCATTAGCTGGGGGTTAGTTGTGTAGGGGTCGTGACGGTCGGTGAAATCATCTGGAAAACATAGCATTAGCTGGGGGTTAGTGATGGTCTGTGAAATCATCTGGAAAACATAGCATTAGCTGGGGGTTAGGGGCGAGTCGGGAATAGTGCGGTCAGATAATTCAGTAACCTTGATGTGTGAGTACTCAAATACACATTTAGAGCCATCCGTAGTTTCAACAATTAATGTCGTCCGTTTACAATCCGTTGTTTACAGTTTATTATTTGCTATGACGTCACGTAACCGTTGCTAATAGTGTGGCTTGGAGCGCGATTTTTTTTATCTGTGTTAAAGGTTACAGCAAAAATCGTGGTTCTGTTAAATGTCACATCGTTAGAAAGTAAAAAGACCAGCATTGACATACACACAATATTTTTATCTTCTAAATGTTTTTAAATGTCAACATTCTTAGCATCAAAGTGGAACTTTTTCTTTTAAATTAATGGTAGTTTTTTTTCTTAATTTCAATAGTATGAAGTGGAGAGAGTAAATCGTTCTCTCCACACTGAAGCGAGAGGGGAGGGGGTGTTATGTTCAGGCAGGGGCGTAGCGAGGGGGGGGCGGGGGGGGGGGGTGCGGACCGCACCGGGTGACACCATTTAGGGGGGTGACTAAAAGGCAAAAAATAGCAAAATATATAGAGAAAAACTCGAGGGGGGGGGGGGGTGCAAATCGAAAGTTTGAGGGGGGGGGGGGGGTGCAAATCGAAAACTTGAGGGGGAGGGGTGCAAATCGAAAACTTGAGGGGGGGGGGGGGTGCAAATCGAAAGTTTGAGGTGGGGGTGCAAATCGAAAATTTGAAAGTTTGTCCCTGGGAAGGGTCTCTATGCCTCTAGGGGGGTGACACCATTAAGTGCCGCACCGGGTGACACCCGAACTCGCTACGCCACTGTGTTCAGGAACTATGTTGATACACTTCATGAGGGTGATTGTGGGATTCCAAAAAAACGGAATGTCTTTGATTAACGGAGAAATAAACAATAAACCCATAGTATTTATTCTTTGACCTATATATTTAGTATAATATAGTATAAATTTTCCAGCCTCGATATCGTTAAAATAATGAAATGTATAATAGTTTGCTGACCTAAATACATTAAAGATTTATTATTTTAAGGACAAAGTATAATTTCCTCAATAAATTTACAAAGATCTGACTGCCATATAACTTAGTTTTGGTTCAAACACTTTTCAACACACATACTCTCCATAATTTATTGTTAATAAAACAAAATATTTTACAAAATTTGGACATTTGGAGCTTTAACAGTCAAATCTACAAAGGGAGGGGAGAGGTTGGAGGGGGGTGGGGCGGGTCTAAGCCATTTACTAGATCAATTATCTGAATGTGTTATCAAGTAACTTTGATGAGTGAAGGAGAATTTTTGTAGTGATATAATTTTGTTGTGATATAATTTTGTAGAGATATAATTTTATTGTGATATAATTTTGTTTTTATATAATATTGTTGTGATATAATATTGTTGTGATATAATATTGTTGTGATATAATATTGTTGTGATATAATATTGTTGTGATATAATATTGTTGTGATATAATATTGTTGTGATATAATTTTGTAGTGATATAATTTTGTAGTGATACAATTTTGTTGTGATAAAATTTCGTAGTGATATAATTTTGTAGTGGTATAATTTTGTAGTGATATAATTTTGTAGTGATATAATTTTGCAGTGGTATAATTTTGTAGTGATATAATTTTGTTGTGATATAATTCTGTAGTGATATAATTTTGTAGTGATATCATTTTGTAGTGATATCATTTTGTAGTGCTATAGTTTTGTAGTGATATAATTTTGTAGTGATATAATTTTGCAGTGGTATAATTTTGTAGTGATATAATTTTGTTGTGATATAATTCTGTAGTGATATAATTTTGTAGTGATATCATTTTGTAGTGATATCATTTTGTAGTGCTATAGTTTTGTAGTGATATAATTTTGTAGTGATATAATTTTGTAGTGATATAATTTTGTAATGATATAATTTTGTAGTGGTATAATTTCGTAATGGTATAATTTTGTAGTGGTGTCATTTGGTAGTGATATAATTCTGTAGATAAACACTGCTCAGAGGGAAGACTAAGGTTGCGTTGAAGAAAGTTTCACGAAGCAAATACTAAATTTAAAAAAAATAGCAAATAACAAAACAAACATTTCAATTTTTGTTTTGTTTCGTTTGTTTTTAAAACTGAGATCAAAACTATTGACGTCACTGAAGTCTCAGATCATTCTTGTCGTTAGAAAAAATCTAGACAACTCTTGTCAAGCTAATCTCAACAAACTTTACCGTACAGAGGCATTGAGCGAAGGACGGAATGTGAAAACAATAAAACACTCATTCATAATTCATCTTTTCAAGTAGACCTCTACGAGAAGTTATGACGTCAAACACAATTTTTCCCCATAATGCATCTACGTGTTATTAGTGGAATTGACACGTACACAAAAACTGACATTTGGCATGGGGAGAATGTGACGTTAGCGCAATTTTTTTTAGTGTTAGTTCGTGTGAGGGCCATTTAATGTAGGGATAATGTAATGAGATGGCAAAACTTTAGTGCTAGTTAATATAAGTAACATTTGGCATGGGGTTAATGAAAGATTAATACAAAACTTAAATGTTAATTGGTACAAGTAATATTTGGCATGGATGACCTTAATCTTATGGCTAAACTTAAGCAGCAGGTAGTGTAAGGACTATTTGAGATGGGCCAAAATAAAACTTAAGTGTTACTTAAAGTACAAGTAACATTCGGCATAGATTACGTTAATGTTATGGCTAAACTAACGCATCAGCTAGTTTAAGGCAGTACTTAATTATAGCTAGCAACATATGATCTATTACAAAGATGTATCACTACATAGTATTGGTGGCTAGTTCATAAATAGGAGTTGTTAAACATTTGTGGGAAGGGGGGGGGGGGTGGTTTGGTTATGTGATATCTAAATGAGAAGCTGCGTCCCATTGACCGCCATTTTGTCAAGTATCGAGGGGGAAAGGGGGAGGTTGGGGTCAGGAGTCATGTAACAACCTAATATGCCCCCCTCCCCACCCCTTAGGCAATATGATTATATCGATACTGCCACTATGGACAACATAATTGGATCGATACTGCCATCGTGTGCAATATAATTGGATCGATACTTCAACCAGGGCAACATAATTGGATCGAAACTGCCACCATTGACAACATAATTTGATCGATACTGCCACCATGTGCGACATAATTGGATCGATACTGCCACCATGTGTGACATAAATGGATCGATACTGCCACCATGGGCGACATAATTGGATCGATACTGCAACCATTTACAACATAATTTGATCGATACTGCCACAATGGGCGACATAATTGGATCGATACTGCCAGCGTGGACAAAATAATTGAATCGATACTGCCACCATCAGCGACATAATTGGATCGATATTGCAACCATGGGCAACATAATTGGATCTATACTGCCACCGTGGGCAACATAATTGGATCGATACTGCCACCATGGGCGACATAATTGGAACGATACTGCCACCATGGGCGACATAATTAGATCGATATTACCAGCATTGAACATAACTTCAGACCGGATCGATTAACCCACTAACAAGACGTCGAATGGCAGGAGAATATTTCGGTTAATGTAATCCTCGTTAGGGGTGGCGTTAGGGTCGAGCGTTAGAGTGCAAGGTTAGAAGCCCTAAGGGCTGAAGCTGAAGCCGCGCGATGTGATTACATTACGTCTGTAGAACACCGGAGTCAGCAAGCCCATCTGATACACCAACGTAGTGGCAACACACTCATTGTACTCTTATAGCATTATATATATATATATATATGTACATACATACATATATGCATATATACATATATATATATATATATATATACATATACATATATACACATACACACACATATAAATATATATATATATATATATATATATATATATATATATACATAGCACAGCCAAGTACTGTTACATTTTTTTTCGATGCGATGACAGTATTCATCATCGCATGATTCTCTGTTCACATGAGAATCTCGGTCGAAAGTTTAAACTAATTAATTATTTAAGGGAATTCATTCCTTTAGGTGTAGGGTTTGAATCGATAATGCCGTGTTATGTAATGATGATTACCTGTAATTAAGACAACACTCACCTTTCTCCGAGTCGGACTTTACATGGGCGGAATCCGTGGCGGACTCTACATCCCCTGCCCTGTCGGGGAGCCTGGGGAGACAAAGTGGTGGGGTAAGGAGTGTGTTAGCGATTAGCAGAAACAAATTCCGTATCAAAACGTTGTTTTTTTTTAGTTACAGATTATGGTGACCTTCAGGATAGACGAAGTAGAGTAGATCTGTTTAATGCTTACACGTG